GCTACCTCGTTATAGGGCTAGAAAATCGCGGTTAAGTTAACCGTATAATCTAACTACTCTTTAGTAAAGTTAGCCGCGCCCTTAATAATTAAAATTAGTAGCTTATAGCTACCTAGCTTCGAATATAATAGCTTAAGTATTAATTATATTATCTATAGCCTTAAAAATAGAAAAAGGTTTTAAAGGATCTTAATAGCCGGTTCGTATAGATTAATTAAGTTATTAAGATAAGGCAGCGGCTTAAATATATCCTCGAGCCGGCTACTATTACTATAGCTAATTAAGACATAGATTTTAAAGCTCTATATAGTAGCTAGTAGCTTAAATAGCTATAAAACACTATAATTAACTATCGTAACGTTAAAATATAGCTTTAATTACTATTAGAATATACCTACCTTAGTATTATAGAGAGTGCTAGTATTAAGGTATACCGGACTTTAGGTAGGCTAACTTAACGCTAGCCCGCCCCGCCTATTTATACCGCGCGCGCTTAGTAAGTACGCGCCTACGTATATAACGTACTTTTAGTTATATAACCCCGACTTAACGATCCCTTTAACGCCTAACGAAGCCGGCGGCGCGCCCCTCCTACCGCGTCCTCCTCTTAATCTATATCCCCTTATATTTCCTCGGGCTAACGATCCTTATTATAACGCTGCGAGAGACCGCGGTCTATAGCTAAGTTTATCGATTACGGCGTTAGTAATAGCTTTAAATTTAGTATATATATTTATATAAGCGGGCGCGGGCGCGGGCATTTAAGCGGTATAAGTACTTACTAAGCGGGCGCGGTATAAATAGGTAGGGCGGGCTAGCATTAGTACGTATCTTAAAAATAAAGTAAGTATATAAATAGTAATATACTATTATATAAATAGTAATACTTATATAATAAGAGTATTACTATTTATATAGATAAAAGTCTCTATTTATATAGACGATTTACTTTTTCTATATATACCCCGCTTACTTAGGCCCTGCTACTTAATTTAGCTATACTAATATAGTAAAGGAGGGAGCCGCGCTAAGCGTAGCGTAAAGCCCCGCTAAGGGAGAAATCTGCCCTTTATACCTATATAGTAAAGTAAAGCTATTCGCGATAGACCTACGATTTATCCTTAACGAGCCTACTAAAGAGCTCGTCGGGCTACTAATTCTACCTCTACTGCCCTCGCTAACCTTTAACTCCTTTAACGAGCTCTATAACTTCCTCTAAAGCTTTTATTATAGTTATAGCGCCGCTATTATTAAGAGCTCTAGCTTATATAAGCATAAGATTAATAGGTAGGTCTTACCTATATATATTATATTTATTTATAATCGTAGCCTTTAATAAGCTTCGTTAAGTAATAGCCTTTATAAAGCTTCCTTATAAAAGCTTAACTACCCTATTAAGATTATCGTATCTATAATAAAAATATCTTACTAAAAGTAGACTTTTCGCGTTAATAATAGTTAATATAACTATAGGCAATTAATCGACCCTTTAGCTTATAATATCTATCGCCGCTAAACCTAAGTATAGTAAGAGCTTAAGAGAAGCCTTTCTAAGTATTATACTATCCTAGCTCGCGAGATAGCTTCGATTATTAGGGACTCTATTAAAGAGAGCTTCTTTCGCTAGCGAGATATATATAACGACTGCTAAAAGATATATACCGCGGCCCTTAATAGTAAGACTATAACCTAGGCCTTTATTAATTACCTTTAACGCGGCGGCCTTAAGTATATAGTTAAATTTAGTAACGATAACGATAAGTAGAAGGTTAAGGCTATTTTCTAAATATACCCTTAGTATAAGTAAATATAAAAGCGCTTTCTAGAAGTCTTAGGACTTAATAATATATATAAAATAAACCGGTTTTAGATATATCTCTCCTAAGCTACTAAAGTTACTAATTAACGGTCTATAGCTAACTTCGCTTTTAGCCTTATTAATATAAAGAAGGAGGAAGGGTTTTAGTAGCTTTATAAACGCCTTAACGAGCTTTGCCTTAAAGTTAGGGTCCTAGCGCCTTCTATAGTTATTATAGATAAGGAAAAAGCCCTTAAAAATATACTCTTATACGTTTTCCCTTTATTATAGTAATAACTTTACGTTTACTATATTAACGCTAATATTAACGCGAAAATTAAGTTACGTTAAAAGGAGCCTAGTAGCGTTGATAATAATAACGATAATAATAATAATAAAGCTAACGGCGTTAATAGCGCTAATAATCTTACTAATATCTTCCTTAGTAGAGTCGCTATATAAGAAGAAGCTAAAGATAAGGTCTTAAGCGTATAACCTATATAACCTAAAGACTATAGCCGCGAGGGGATATTTACTACTTAGAAGGCTATTATCTATACCTTAACTAAAGTAGGCTTTTAGTTAGCTTAGCGGGCGCTTAATTATAAGTATAGATAATACTAAGGCTATATTATAAGATATATTTCTAAGGAATATATACTATAGTAAAAGTAGTAGGTTTATTACTATATTAGCCGCTATTATAACTTTAGCTAGAAGGTTAATAGCTTAGTAGAGACTATATATAAAGATATAAAGTTATATTTACTTATAAGCACTAGCGATCTTTTCTACCTATATACTATATTAAAGTAAATAATTATAAATAAAGAACGCTTTTATATCTAAGAGGCGGCCCGCTAAAAGTTAAGGTAGCGGCTTCTTTATCTTAGCTAAAAATAGCTAGGTAAGCTAAACGTTAAACTTACTTACTAAGCGGTTAACCTCCTTACTAAGTAATACCGGCTTACCTTAGCCGCGATGCCCTTAAAGCCTAAGTAAGAGCGGGAGTTATAGCCGCTACTATATTATATAGGTCGATTTATATAGTAGTAAGGGCTTCCTTATATATATACGATCTTCTAACGCCTTTAAGCTAACGTTCTGCTTATAAAGTATAATATTTACCCTTAGTAGTAGCTTAAGAAGCCTTTAGTAGAGAAGCCCCCCCTTTTATATATAAATTACGCTAATCCTTACCGTTAAGATCTTAATAAGCTACTTCTTTAAATCCGAGACCCTAATATCGTTTAAAGCCTCTATAGCCGACCTCGCGTTACTAAGAACACTAGCCTACCTATACCTTAAGACCTAAGGCTATATCGAGATAAAAACGACGATACCGCGTAGCTAGCTTCGTAGCCGGCCTTATAGTTAGTTAGAGGCACGTAGAGACGGCTACCGCGGTCTAGTTAGGCAAGCACCCGCCGCCTTAACGCTAGCGTACGCCGCACGCGCATATAAGCCGAGATCGATAAAGGAGGCAGTTAGGGCTCTACCCGGCCGTTATTAGGAAGATCGCGAGCGCGCGCAAATATATAGGGAAGGGGATCTCGAGGGAGACGGGGCAGAGGTATAAGGGCTACGCCGGCCTCGTCGGTAGAGGAGGTCATCCTAGCTACGCAGCCCACGCCCACGTAGCCTAGGCCGGACTATTAGCCGGGCCGCAATATACGACGCAATATACGTATATCTCGCGATAATCGCGAAGATGCGTTATTTAAACGAATTAAGCTACCCTAGGCTTATAGGTGTATATAATCTTTACGCTAGCGCGGCTCCCTCTTTTGCCACGTTGGTATAGCTAAATTAGGTGGCGGGGCCTAGGCGGGCGGGGTACGCGCAGAAAAAGTAGATCGTCTATGCAAATAGAGACTTTTGTCTATGCAAATAGTAATACTCTATAATAATTACTCCCTTACCGCGATTATTGCCCCTATAAGAATTAAATAACTTTGCCCTGCCTATCCGACCCCTTACTTCTAATTTCACCTTCGTGCATTTTACATGCACTTCTCGCATCTCTCTTCGCGAGACGTATAGTAGGCCTCACGAGTTCGTAGTTATTGTCGTCTTACGAAACCAATGGCTACCATGCATATCCATTTAACACTTCCGGCGTAGTCACTAATTTTCTTACGCAGTATTCAATACGAGACCCCTGGAATCCTATGGATCTTTTCCTTGCTAGCTGTAAGTTTTCTCACGGCATTTACACGGGTAGCCATAAAAAGAGCGACTCGCATAACCTCAAGTCTATATTCGGAATAAATGACTTTCCATCCAATGACCAGTCGCCGCCAATTCATCTTGTCTGCTCCACCCCCTCGTCTGTTTAATACATGATTGAATAGTTTATGATTCCAAAACATCTATGAATCCAAATGTGCGAGAGGTGAAGAGTCAACTTAGCGCTGGACAGCTCACTCATGACAATTGCCTGCGATGTCTGGATGGCTTGCTACTACGTGAAATCCAATACATGATGCAATACAAGACGGCTATAAATATTGTCAACTCACCTCCTCACGGCCGATATAGCACTCGAGCTGTTGCTTCAACAGAGATGATCCACAACTTCACCAAGCCCCAGCCGGACCTGGACCTTTGGAACTCGTCGGAGCCACCACCATGTTTGTGGCTCTCTGGATCCAGATTCTCCCTCAACAGACTCGTCAGAAGCTTCACACAAGCCGCCCCTGTGCCAGACAACCATCGTTCCGCTGTGTCGTTGGCCCGGCAGACAGGCCTGAGGGCCCGATACGTTCCATGGTCATGTAGTCTTGGAGCTCAATCAGCCCTTCAGTCGAGACCGTGGCCCCGGATCAATCGGTTGATATGCAATTCGCGCTCATTCTTTCAGAGAACCTCTGGAAATATAAAGCTCTAGTCTTTTGCAAAAGCTGCTGGTGGCTGATGGCTCGTTGCCGGATGACAGTCGGGATCTTTTGTACTTTTGTACTTCCCGGCAAAACCAAATGATCCGCGCGAGACCCGCCCAACACGGATCAGCGAATCTCGAATTTTCTCGCCCAGCCTCATGGATCCATCACCACCAACTCCTTTAAGCTACAGCGAGTGGTGGCCAGACCACCCAATTCCTTCCACCGCGCCCGAGGCCATGAACTGCTGATCCTGTTGGCAGGCCACGACACCACACACTAGCCACTCCGTTGGCCGCCTCTGTGCCCTCACCCTCAGGATGCTCTCGAGAATAGCTCGAGCTTCGCGGCTCGCCTCGGCCACACCCACGGCTGCCCGTTCGTCGCGATCCGCCGTCTTCCCGACCCTTCGCGCGCCGGCCGCCGTTGCCATCTACCCCTCGGCTCGCACATACGCCTCTAACCATCGCAAGCCCGGCCACGGTCGCCGCCCCCATCCCCAAGCTTCACCCCAGGCTTCTCCCAAAGCTTCTCGAGAATCTCCTCCCAAAAATTCGTCCCAGCCTTCTCGCGAGTCTTCTCCACAGACTCCCCCTCAGGCTGCTCCTCGGGTCTCCCCGCAGACCCCCCCTCAAGCTTCATCCCAAGCCTCTTCCTCCAAACTGGGTCAAGACAGCCCAAAAGAACAGAACGCTTCGCCCAAGAAAGAGACGTCCGCAACTCTGCCTCGAGACGGTAGCTTTGCTGCTACCGAGGACAACGCCCCGTTGCCTGAAGCCTCTCAACATGTCGGACAAACGCCTTTTCATAAGCTGCCTGACTTGACGCAGGGCATTCCCTCCACCCTGGAACAAGAGATGCAGGACAAAGCTGGCCGATCGCCGTCAGCGCTGCAGGCAATCGAGCAGGAAGACTCGGATGGCCGAGGCCCTCGCGAGCGAAAGGAAACTTACATCCCTTCCAGCGAGCGCAACCGTCGCTGGTGGACTCGCCTCGTGCTGCTCACTACGGCAGTCGGCTCCTCCCTGGCCATCTTGTACATGGGCCGAAACTGGGAGGATGCCGTCGAAGTTGAGCGCCATCCAGACGCCCCCAACGGATTCAGCCCGACGCTGTGGTGGCAGCGAATGAAGATGCGTATGAGCGAGTCCGTCTCGTACTACCAGGACCCAGCCTTCGATAAGCTATTACCCGACCCCGATCCAAGCTTCGAGCGTCCGTATACACTCTGTTTGAGCTTGGACGACCTGCTCATTCACAGCGAATGGTCCCGCGAGCACGGCTGGAGAATAGCAAAGCGTCCTGGAATGGACTACTTTGTTCGCTACCTGAGCCAGTATTTCGAGCTGGTTCTCTTCACGACTGTTCCCTTCATGTACGGCGAATCCGTGGTCCGCAAGCTCGATCCTTTCCGCTTCATCATGTGGCCGCTTTACCGCGAGGCGACAAAGTTTGAGGATGGAGAGATTGTCAAGGTTGGTCCCTCCTTTTGCTCTTGACTTTCATATTTCCGTAAACTAACAATTGCGCTTCCTAGGATCTGTCGTATCTCAACCGCGACCTGTCTAAAGTCATCATCATCGACACAAACCGCTCCCACGTGCGCAAACAACCCGAAAACGCCATCATCCTCGAGCCGTGGAAGGGGGACCCCAAGGACAGCGAGCTCGTCGGCCTGATCCCTTTCCTCGAATACATCCACACCATGCAGTACTCGGACGTGCGCAAGGTCCTCAAGTCTTTCGAGGGCAAGCATATCCCCACCGAGTTTGCCCGCCGCGAAGCCATTGCTCGAAAAGAGTTCAATGCACAGCTCAAGAATCAAAAGGCCAAGCATTCGAAGCCGTCGGGTGTTGGCGCCCTGGGCAACATGCTCGGCCTCAAGCCTAGCAACATGAGCATGACAATGGCACCAGAGGGAGAGCAGAACCCGAGCGAGGCCTTTGCTCAGGGCAAGATGATACAGGATCTTGCGCGCGAGCGGGGACAGAGGAACTACGAGCTCTTGGAAAAGGAGATTCGAGAAAACGGCGAGAAGTGGCTCAAGGAGGAGCAAGTCGCCATGGAAAAGGCCCAAAAGGAGGCCATGTCGAGCATGATGGGCTCCTTTTCCGGCTGGTACAAGCCAAAACCAAACGGCGAGTCCTGAACGACCGGCATTGGCAGCCATGGGACGATCTGGGAAGACGAAATCAAGGACACGGGCGCCGCATCTCGAACATCTCACTTGTACTTGTAGCGGAAAGTGTTGCCACCATCAGGAAATCAGCAGCGAGGGATTACGGGGGTCTGGAGCATCCTGCACCTAGAACGGCATTGGCTTTTCCGGCAGCCAAGGACGGGAAACGGCACGCGACGGGCTCAGAAAGAGAAGGGCGTGGCAAGCTACCCTCCTGCAGTGTACACTAGGCGTGTATGAATTGACGAGGACTGAAGATCTTTTCCCTGTCACGCCGGGCTCTTCTTTTGGACAATGGCGGGCCTCGTTGCTTGGAGGACAGTTGAAGAAGACGGCTGATGGTCAGCACAGTGTCAAGAATCGATGGCTGCATTTCCGATACAAGCGCCACTCCTGCTGAAACCGCATGCAAGACCCGGCATTGTGCCCTTCCCACGCGCGGCAACTCCAGATCGACAGTCGAATCACCTTCTGCCCCCCCGGCACTTCTCACAGTTGGGATTCGTAGTACACTGGAAATATCTGCTCTGCGTCAGGACCGGGTTCACAATTTAGGTGAGAGGTCGTGGGGGATACTCGGCGCCTGGGAGCTTACTCGTCACTCTGCTTGTCCTTGATCTTGGAGCAGTCACAGTAGTCTGGGCATGACGGCTTGGGCTTGGCCGGGGACGTCGTCGTTGCCGTCGAGGTGCTGCTGCTCTTGGGCGGCGGGCTGGACGTCCATGTGTTCGGACTGGTGCTCGTGGGCTCGACGGCGGGATTGGAGGTGCTTACAGGGGCAGATGGTTTCTTTGACGTGAGGGCTGAGGCGTTGTTGCGGCAATCCTCACAGACTGGGTTCGTAAGGCATTGGAGGTATCTTTTCGCATCTCTGTCAGTACGTGCCCTGGCGCTGGAGAAGGTCTGCGGCTGAATGACAAGGAGAAATGCAAAGAGGGTTCCTTTGAGAGGAAGTAGCAAAGAGCAGACCTACTCGGGGCTTTTCTTGTCCTTGATCTTGACACAGTTACAAACGGCCGGACACTTTGCCTCATCCTGTACCGTCGTCGCTCCCGCATCCTCGGACGACGACACCGTGGCCGGGGCAGACTCTGCCGCCGTCGTTGGCATCGGCGTGGGCCCTACCGTCACGACGGTCGTCTCGACGATGGTGACGACATGCAGCGACGCCGAAGGAGACGACAATGGTGGCGTGGCTGGTTCGGGCGTGCGCTCCGGCGGCACCGGCACGACAATGACCGAGACGACGTTCGAGGCCGTCACCGTGTACGTCCCAGGGGTCACGGTGCGATAGTCGGTCGTCGTGTTGGAAAAGGAGGGAGAAGCGGTGCTTCTCGACGTGGCCCTCGAGATCCGAGTGGAGGCCTCGGCCCGGCATTTCTCGCAATCGGGATCGGTCACACACTGGAAATACCTATCATGAAGGAAAGGGGGGGGGTTCTCAGCCCAGCGGACAAGGCGGCGGCAAGCAGGAGAAGGTGTCCCTGTGGCTTACTCCTCGCTATTCTTGTGCACAATCCTGGTGCAGTCGCATTTGCCCCCAGGGGCGCAATCAGCACGTCCAGTCGGCGACGACGAGGGCACGGGCGGGGCCAACGACACTCGGCCAGTGCCGCCGCTCGTCGTGACAGGCCCATGACAGGTCAAGATCTGGGGCGGCCGGCCGGGACTCGGGGGCGGAGCGGCGACGGCGAGACCGACAACGCACAGCCCGGCAATGATGCTGCCGATTGAGCGCATCTTGACCAGATCGGCGAAGGCAAGCAATATCGGATCTCTCTGCAGGTAGAGACGGAGGACGACTATCCTGGCTTGAATCCCCAAGTTCAGCTTGAGAACGTCGGCAAGAAAAGGGGGTATTTCAACAGCGTTGGAGAACGGAGACTCGAAGGGTCCTTTAATAACCCCGCGTCGTCCCACGGGAAATGCCCATCAGTCGGCGTGTCGTCGACTCCAGCGTCGAGGGCTCGCGACTGGGCGAGCAGTGCCGAGGAGGCAATCATCCCTCGCCCTGCATCTCGGCCCTTCGCCAGGGCCTCAGCACCGACCCCTCCCCGGCCTCTCGCCTGGAAGGGCGTGGCAAACATCTCGCTTCCAGCGACGGAGAATCAGGGGCCAAGGCCGAGCTGCTGCATGCGGGACTCCATCCATGAAGCTTGGCTCCTCGTCTGTGTTGGCTCGATCCCGTCTCGAGAGCCGAGATGCCTTGCCGAGTGCATTCCCATTCGAACCACAAGGTTCAAGGAACCCTCCGTCGGCCAAGTGCCCGAGTAGGTCCGACCACATTTGATAGCGGCAAACCCGTCCAAGCAAGACATGCTTTGGGTATAAAGCCATGCTTGACTTTCGACTGTTGACACTCTTGCGGAGTCACAACGTCAGACAGTCCATCTTCCGCTGAGCGCCGTCGACCAAGCGTTCCTAATGTTGAAGCCAAAAGCGAGGTTCCTGCACGGAGGGAGTTCATCAAGCCTATTGCTAGTATGAGGCGGCCAGATGTGTTTGTGTGCAAACACTTAAAGCGCAACAGGACTTCGGCCTTGTCTGACGCACCGAGCTCCCCGTCATCGCCCAAAGTATGTCGGGCCACTGGCACAAACCGGCATGCAAGCCGCTGCGACAGTGAGGCAAACACAGCGAAAAGTCTTCTTCATTATCGCACCAAGGAATCCCATTCCCAACATATCTAATCATGCTGTCCCGTTAGGCCTCGCGTTGGAAAACTTCTTGATGCTCCCCCGTCTAATCTCATCCAGAATGTTCCGGGCCCAGCCAACGCCTTGTAAGAACCGACCGTCAACGTCAACCCCAGCCGATTCCAGACAGAGGACCATGGCATAAAGTAAAGCACCAAAAAGAACGCTTAGATCCAGAAAGTGAGTCAGCCACCAGAAATGTTGCTTGCCGAGAGGGCAGTCCATGTATCCGTGCTCCCACTCCCAAGTGCTCTCGTTAAACCACATGCTCAGCAGGCCCGCGTTGCCGCCAAAGTCGCCCATCATGCTGCGGACCGTGATCTCGCGGCGGCCAGGAAGCATGGGCTGCCTATGTAGGCCCTTGGGGAGAGCATCGGCCCACCTCGCGACCTCCCAAGAGCGATCCGTCACCTCCGTGCCATTGGTTTGGTTGATGAAGTGAAACGTATCGCATCCTGCGTGGTCGTGTCCGTTGAGAACCAAGCCGCTGCGACCCATGCCCTTGCCGGCCCCTTCCGGGTTCCCGCTGAGGCCGAACACTCCCTCGAGAAGGCCCTTGCTGGCATCGGAGCTGAGGAGATACTGCTCCTTGACGCCTCCGCCTTCCTCGCGCGTGTGAAAGTCGAAAAAGGGACCGTCGACACAGACGCCTTCGGGTTTGTACATGGGAATGTGGGTAAGGACCAGCGTGAACTGGCCCTGGTGCCCGACAGCTGCGGCTGAGCCAATGGCGGCGTTGATGAACTCGTATGTTGCGTCCTGCAGCCCCTGGTCCTTGGCGGGAGTGTCGAGGTTCATGTCGTTGAGCACGAGGATTCGTATTTGCGGCGGCAAGCGCGTGGACTCTGGATTTGTCTCTCTGTCGAGGATGCTGGCGTTGACCTCGGCATCTCGGATGGGCAGGGCGAAACGAAGCTCGTAGTTGGCCTTGCCGAAAACCCGCTCAAACCGCTCCATCCGCTCCGGCGTCAAGTCCCCGGCATAGCCAATGTCGTGGTTCCCTGCCACGTTCATTATCCTCCTGGTCCAGACTCCTTGTTCGGGAGACCCGTCCAGGGTGCCGGATATGTTGTACTCCTGAGCGGGGAACATGGCAACGTGGTCTGGCACCCTTTCTCCGCCCTTGAACGTCCTGTTCCAGAAGCGCCGGCCCCTTTGCTCAAACTCGGTATTTTCTATCCACTGGCTGCCAAGGAGATCACCGAGAACAGACACATGGGTCGGACGCGACCACCAATGGAGCGTTCGGTAGATGTGCGCGAGGTAGAAGTCGTTGCCGAAGAGATCGAAGCGCTTGCGAAGAGATTCGAAAATGTTGGGGATGTCTTCGAGAACGACATCGATGACGTCGTGCAGAATCATGCGAATGCGATCCCGAAGAAAGGGGTGCTCAATCTGAAATGTCAGACGCCGCGCCAAGCTCTTTAAGTGAGGAAGTATGCCGAGATAGGCAATGGGAACCGACGTTTCCCCCTCGAGCTGAGGATCGCCGAGCGCCAGCAGGCGGAACGGCGCGAGCTGGGGCAGCGTGTGCTCTTCCTGAGAAGCTGCATATGGCCAGTGCAGCTTCTTCGTCTTATCAAAGGCTTCGGAGGGATCCCTCGATTCGACTGGAAACGCGCATCCGTTGAAGACGGGATAGAGGTAGAGGTAAACGGTGCAGGCTATCGCCAATGGCACCAACAGGCGCAAGCCATGGCGGAGATGGACCGCGACCAACATATATCCGACCTCATGTGACGGACACCGCGGCAGCGAATCGAGAAAGCGGGCGCGGTGTTCTGGAGGACGGACGCGGTTGAGGCCAAGTTCTCTGTCTTGTATTCGGTAGAGAGGAGCGCGGTTGCAGGGATGCTTAGTCACAGGCGGCCTCCTTCGGCTGCCTGGCTGGCACGGCCAGTGACACATTGGCGCTACGGAGGAATGGGCTGGAGAAGACGCCATTGGAAAATGAAGCATGACGACATTGTCCTCGTTGGCCGTTTCGTGAGAATTCAAGAGCGTGGTTTCAGGAGATATCGGCGCGCTGCAAGCAGTCAGTCAAGTCTGACTCTACCTTGTGCACATGTCACGCCGAGAGCCAGCCCAAATCAAGGACTTGTCCCTGTTGTTGGCCACCACGATTCATTTCAGGTCTGCACCCTCCGCGGCACAGTTCAATTGGCCATCGCAGTGCCTGCCCGCTAAGCGATAGAGCTGATGGCAATCGGGCACAATGACAGGGCAATGACGTCTTGTAGCGAGACGAAGCAAAGACAATTGGCCATGATTTGGGATATGCCGCTGCGTCCACCCCATGCCGGATTAGAATAGTCTCCGGCGCATTGCTTGTTGCCCAGGCGCTTATTCTCCATCATCGAGATGCTTCAGAATGAGAATATCCCACGCCAGACCGGGCTGGTGCGTCTCAGCGCGGGCGCGGATTCCGTTGATGGCATCAGAATCGCCACTGCATTTATCCGCCTTGTTCATAGAGCTCCTCGTCCTCCCTGGGCCACTCCACCTCGAATAGCACCTCGTCATCGACGTCGTCTTCACTGACCAGGCTGAAGGCGACAATGCTGTTGCTCTTCAAGCCACATTTTGTCGGCGTGTGTTCCTCGTCCCCGCCGACCTTAAGTCTCCTCCATCCTCTGGAAGGGTCTGTGGGGATGTTCAGCACTGCGTAGGCAAGTCTGGCGTCGGCGGGAATGGACGTCTGCCTCGGAGGAGCGACGGAAGTCGTCAGTCCCGCGGGATATCGTTCCCGCAGCAGCTCGAGCAGCTCACTTGTGACGGCAGAAAAGGGTGCGAGGGCGTCGACGAATAGGTAAATAGTGTGGATGCCATGCTTGAAGCGCACAGAGATGTGAGCATCGTCCACGGTGGTCTAGCTACAGTGTCAGCTCCGCCCGCATGGCTGAGTGGCATGAGATGCGAGCGCAATGACCTACCATCTTGACAGCGCCGCCTCTTACCGCCGGCTTCTTGCAACAGGAGTTGTATCGCGGTCGGGGCGGTGTTTGCGGAAGGACGAGCTGCATTTCCCCTTGAAACGGGAGCTATCCGGTTCCGCGATGAGCACCGAGCTCCAGGTATTTAGGCACCTACCTAGATACCTACCTATCTACCTACTTAGGTGGTATCGTGGTATCTACCTTAGCTTAATTGGGTACAAGTACTTAGGGAGATGAGCAACGTGCAAGATAGAGTATCTGCCACGAGAAGACACTGTACAGCGTATCGCCTCATCGGTACATTTTGTCAACAGTACGAAAAGAGAGGTGACGAGCCCAACGCGAATCGATTATTACTGTACCCGTCCAGTCCGCCGGCAACACTGTGTATCTGCAAATTCGCCATCTTCCTCTTGCGCATATGCAAACGTATGACCGGCCAGAAACCCGACTACCCACCTTGGCCAGCAGCAGCATCTCGACCATGTCGTCACGCGAGACAGTTGCCTCTGTTGGGCATCAGGCCGCCGCCACAGAGCTCGCTTTCCACTCGTACGAAGGCGCCTTTGCCCTAGACCCCCACCCGCGGCTGTCTCTGACGACGTCAACCCGCCTGCTACTCGGGTCCGTGTCAGCTGGCTTCATCGGCTTCACCCTCGGGGCCTTGCAGGGTGGCCAAACCGCCCAGCTACGCTTTCGTGCTGAGCACGCGCACAAGATGCCCGACACCACCACAGGCTGGTACCTCTACCACAAATCCAAGAACTACCACGCAATGCATGGCGGGATCCGCGAGGGCCTCCGAATGGGCGCCAAGACGAGCTTCTGGAGCTTTGTCGCACTTGGGTTGGAGAGCACCGTTGATCAGTGCCGGGGCGACAGCGACATGTTCTCGACGGTCGTCGCCACGCTTACCGTCGCTGGCGCATTTTCGCTCTGGAGTGGGTTCTTCTTCCCCGTCTCTCTCCACGCATGATTGTATTTGATAGCTGCGGAGCCGGCGGCCTGAGTCGGCTGGATATCGTGGCAGCGTGGGAGTGATTCGCTGACTGGGGCGCCGACCATCGGACGCACATTGGTCTTTAGATAGGTTTTCGTTCTCGACTGCCGCCCGCACGGCCAAGCTTGGCCTGTTGTTTGGGCTTACGTACGGGGGCGTCCAGGATCTCGTCGGCTTAGCCCGCGGCAGACCGATAGGCTATGTCGAGCTCGTCCGACGTCGGTTCGGTGCTGGGTCGCACGACGCGGGCGACCAGGTCCGGTGACCATCTGGCACCTGGATGGGTGGAGAAGCTGGTTAAATTTGATTTTTTTTTCTCACGATGCCCACTCGACTCCAGTACCGTACGCCGACGCCATGCGAACCTCCTCCCACCATTGGCCCTCATGGCGACAATCAGGCGCCACCCACGACAGAGAGGGCGTCGCTATTTGCTTACAGACGACGAGCTGACGTCCAACAACGATCGCCGTGCAGCTATGTGTCTTTGCCAAACCATGGCTGGATCGGGCTATCTGGCCCCGGCGTTAGGCCTGCACTGCAACAGTTGGGCCTCTTACGCAAGATGAACCAGATCCAGCCCAGAACGAGAAACCCTACCCACGCCCTCTCGCCTTATCGGCTGCATTCCAGGTACACGGGGCGCGAGCTGTCATTCGCCAATGCTCTGGTGGAGACCCCACCACGGCTACACTCGGGCTTCACTCAGCGCCAAGCGGGGCGATGCTGTGACGACTAATGTGGTAATATGAGTCCTGCATGATGCTCGGGGCACCCTCCCATCCTCCACGGCGGCCTATGTCGGCGCCCGGTGGAGATGCCCCAGCCTCGGGTCAGTGATTGCGCATAGCTTTCCCCTTGCTCTTAGTCTTGAGGGTCTAGATGGCCAGGGGTGGCGCCCGTTGATCTTTGCGGAGAGGATATAATGAGAGCTTGTTTCCGCCTCCCACCCTTCTCGTCTCTTCCTCTTTCGCTGGTGATGAAAGTATAGCAGGATCAAGGGAAGGAAAGGGCAAACCTGGATAACTGCTCTACTGACTTTGCCCGCCCAGAACCCGTTTCATACCAAGTCGGCCGTCAATATAACTTTGATTTCGCAGCAGGTTGCTGTGGAGTATACATTCCGCCTCCTCCCACCTCATCCTCTGCCCATCCCCATCCCCATCCATATCCATATATCCCTTGCCCGCTCAGAGCACAGAATCAAGAGGCAGAAGGCCAGGCGACCCTTTTCGTCTGCCTCTTTCCAATACTTGAACAAAGCCAGAAGCACCTGACAAGACACCCCAGAGACTCTCCTCACATCATCCCCCTCCACCTCGAGAGGCCTGCCATGAGACGGCCCGCTGTCGGCGTGTTTTCCTTTCGTCGGGCGTCCGCCGTGCGCGGCAACGCATCACACTTCGAGCTTTGCTCTGCCTTTACTTCCCTCGCCCTGCGACCACCGCTATCATGGCTCGTCGCCTCGGCTCACCGCGGCCAGCGACGCGGCATCCACTCGTCTGACAAGAAATCGTCGACCATGGCCGAATTTCCCGGCACGGAGCCCCCGCCACCCTGCTCGGAGCCCAACCGCGGGGCGCCGCTTTCAGTCCTGCCGCTGAGCATGGTCCTTCGCTCGCTGGGCACCAACATCGTCTCGTCGTCGCCGCTGCTACTGCCGCCGTCGCTGCGCGTCATGGCGATGCTCGCGCATAGCACTAGCCCCCTGCTCAACCCAGACCGCAATCCGCTGCTGCGGTACGTGCTCAAGAAGTCCTTTTACGCCCAGTTCTGCGCAGGCGAAGACGCCGCCGAGGTCGGCCGGACCATTGCCCGCCTCAAAGACATCGGCTTCACCGGCGTCATCCTCTGCTATGCGAGGGAGGTGGTCCTGTCCGACAAGGAGGCCGGGAAGCTCGACAAGGTCGGCGAGGAGACACCCGAGACTGTTGAACGGGAAATTCTCCCTTGGGCCGAGGGCACGCTCGAGACTGTGCGCCTGACGGAACCGGGTGACTTTGCCGCGCTCAAGTTAGTCACTCTTTCACTCGAGGATCTTGTGTGTTCAGCTTCAAGCACGTTGTAGTTAACGCGGAGAATCGCAGGTTCACTGGCGCCGGACGGGTGGCTCTGCAACGCCTTGCGCATCGTCTGCCGGCATCGCCAATCTTGTACAAGTCCATCGACTCCATCTGCCAGCTCGCTCACGAGCGTGGCGTGCGCCTGCTCTTTGACGCGGAGCAGGACATGCTGCAGGACGGCATCGATGACTGGACCATAGAATTCGCCCGCAAGTACAACATGCTGCCCGACAACGCCACCATCTACGGCACCTACCAGGCGTACAAGAAGTGTGCGCCCGCCGTGCTTTCGCGCCACCTGACCGAGGCCCGGGAGGGCGGCTTCAGCCTCGGCGTGAAGCTCGTTCGAGGCGCATACCTAGGGTCAGATCCCCGGAGCTGTTTCTTCGACACAAAGGCCGAGACAGACGCCTGCTACGATGGCATTGCGGCCAGCGTCCTGACGCGGCAGTGGGGCCCCGCGCTTCCGGGCGAGGGTGAGTTTCCCGCCGCTCACCTGATGCTGGCGACTCACAACGCCGAGTCGGTGCGGCGAGCCCGCGCCATCTGCGATGCCGGGGGCGCCAAGTCGGACATTTCTTTTGCGCAGCTGCAGGGCATGGCGGACGAGATCAGCTGCGAGCTGGTCGAGGCCAGCCAATCTGCGCGCGGTGAGGGCGCAGGGCGGGTGCCGGTGCTGCCGGCTTACAAGTATCTGGTCTGGGGAACGACTGGGGAGTGCATGAAGTATCTGCTGCGGCGCGCGCACGAGAACAAGGACGCGGTGCAGAGGACTCGGAGTGGCCGCGACGCCATGTGGGCCGAGCTTGTTCGCCGGGTGAAGAATACGCTTCACTTGTCTGTGTAGATGCCTACGAGCGACCCCGCGCATTGCGTGTTGTATTAATGGGTTTACGGACAGCGAGTCTGGAGTCTGGAGGCATTTACTGCATAGTATGTAGAATCTGGGATAATGTCAGCAGCAACGCGGAAGACAAAGAAGATGATGAGATGAGAAAAATGGCTCACATCCAGTTCCCCTTAGTTTCCTGGTAGACGTGATCTCATCTGAGGCTCCCGAAATTTAACGATGTCTTAATTGATATGTGACTTTTGTTCAGACTCCGCGCAGCGCCATGGCATCGAGAATGAGCATCTCGACCTCTGAGCGCCTTTTGCGCTCGTCCTTGATGGCGTCTAGCCAGTCGAGCCCGTTTAGTTTGTAATACTTGCGCACCTTGGGCAGATCCGTGGCGGCGCTGATGTTTTCATCCGCGACGCCCACGGCCTCGCCCTCGATGATCGCTTCCAGATGGTCCCAGATTTTGTCGGGTGAAGGGGGCTCCGGGCTTGATTCTGTGGGAAAGGTGACCTTGACAACCAAGAGATCTCTTGTTGTTGGGGAGACGCCGAAGCGGCGATATGCGTCGGCAATCTACAGCGGGAGGGGCCATGCTCAGACGGGTCGCACGGGCAAGGGCACTGGGGAACGGTCATCTTACATTACTTGAAGCGCTGAGGGAAGCGACAATCTCAGAGTGCACGTTTGGGGTTTTCAGGGAGCCATTTACGGCGGCCAAGGTCCCTTTGAAGACGGCCGAGAGCAGCTGACGGCGAGAGAATATCTTGGGGACCGGGTGACGAGTCGAGTCAGCAAGGGGGTTCCACGAAGACGTCCTTTTCATCGAGGAAGAGTCTCCCCCCAAGGCAGCTTACCACCGAGGCATCGACAAAGGCGTACTCAAAGGCGGGGTTGCGGGCGAGCAGCTGGTGGTGGAGAAAGGCGGCGTTTTTGACGTGGCGGAAGAGGGCGACGAGGACGGTGTGGGAGTCGGGGACGTGCTCGAGGGTGACGGTCTCGAGAGACATGGCGTTTGGGCAGCGTCGAGCTCGGCCGTCGCGGGACGACAGGGGCTTGTGACGCGGGCTTGTTGTATGTGGATGGATGGTGAGAGAAGGGTGAAGTTTGCGTCAGGCTCAGAATGGACGAGGTGCGTCGCACGTGAGCCCCACTCTTGGCTGGACCCTTTTAGAGCTATAGTTATTAATAATTATGTTCGTAACTGAAAAGAGCTCTGACCAGGAGGGGGTCCAGGGGCTTACATAAGTCAAGCTAGGCCATCGTCGCCACGGCGACGCCTGCAATTGATGGAGAGCAGCCGTGAAGGGCGACTGGGACAACCAAGCTTGGATGGGTGATGGGAGTGACAGCAAGTGGTGGAAGATGGCAAAGAGTGTGAGTGCCGGGAAGCTGACGGTTCCTCAAAAGGGCTAAACGCAATCAATCTTTGAATGGAGTGAGAGGCGTTCCAAGCCTAGACTTTGCACCATAATACAGCAAAGCCAAGATACCCTGATGCCCCAGGTGAGACAGTCTATACTATACTGTACGTCATGGGCACTGTATGCCATGTACGTTGGCCTTGTCGACAGACAGCAGGAGCCACTGAGACCTTGCCATCGGCAAGCCGAGGGCGATCTCGCTCGCAACGTACAGAGCGTATACTCGGTACTGGGTGTACTGGAACAGCCGAGTAGGAGGGTTGGTGCCCCATGCTTGTGACTGAAGCTCAAGAGTCTCCGACAGGGGAGATTGACATGTGTTTTCATGGTCCATGACTCCATGTGTGTCTTGTCTGCACAGTGCAACGGGAGCTGAGGTAGCATCATGACCTCTGCTGTAAGCGCTGCTCGACGCTCCACTTTTGCTGCTGCTGGACATCGGAAGCCAAGCGATTGCTTGGACAGCAAGTTACTTTCCAATGCCGCTGCCGAAGCATGTGCGCGCGGCCCTTTTCGAGGCAGCGTCCAAGGGCGACGGCGTGAGCACAATGGAAGAGAGCTTCGGTCCAAGGTACCTGCAGCTGCGCCTTGGCCCGGTGGACACCCACGTATCTCGCTCCACGCGCCCAGCACCACTCTCGGCACGCTAAGAGTGGCGGCGGCACGCTATCCGATGAGCTACTGCAGCCCGCAACTCTTCTAGAAGCCCAGGCAGGTCGCCTCTGACATCCGGAAGTTGAAAGAAAAAGTAAAAAGCCCGGAGGCAGCGGCTCCTCCGGCGGGCGTTCCGTCTCCCGAGCGTCGCCATGGCCGCCGGGCGAGGGATGGCCGGGATATATATGTGTGTATAAAAAGAAGGGGGCCCTCGTGAATTACCACCTAATTACGGATACCTTAGGTACTGTATGTATGTATGCTGGCCGCATGACGAGAGAACACGCAGCTGCCCCAACAGTCGGCCAAAACAAGGTTCCCAGCTTGCGTCTCTTTTTGTTTACTCCTTCCCGACGACGGCAACCATCCAGCGTACAGGGAACCGTTGACTTGCGACCCAGTTACCCCAGGTACATGCAAAGGTAAGTGTCTACCCACCTGGTAGGCAGGCAGACGAAGAAGATGGCATTGTTGACATGAACGTCTGAAAGGGAGAAAAAAAATAGGAGCAGCAGGGTCCAAGGATAACGCTAGCGAGCTTTTCGCTAGCGCCGCAGCTGCTCTCTTGTACCTGGCTACCTGCCTCCACCCCAGTCGACAGCACCCTTCCCGCGGAGACAGCGGCACGGAATCACTCAAAGCCTCCAATCAGCGCCGACGCTATTGCCGCCCGCCTATGGGCAGCCGAGACGCCTCGGGTACCGAGTACTTTGCAGGCCTAATCTCAACCACAGCGGCGAGCCGGCCAATCACCAACCATGATGGCCCAGCTGCGGCGGCCCAGAGACGCCCTGCTGGTGGATTCGCTCTACAGCAGCAGCAGCACGTCGCATCCACGCTTTGCATGGGTGCCGCCGCCGCATCACCGACCGCCGCCGCCTCTCCCCTTCTTGGCCCTGTCGTCGGCGGCGGAGCAGCAGCACCAAGTCGGCCCTGGTCCCGGCGCGGGGACACAGCAGCAGCAGCTACTAGTAGAGCCGCGGCAGCAGCTAATAATGCCACCTGTAGAGCAACAGCAGCAGCAAAACCACCATTGGCCCCCGGCGCCGGCGGCAACTGAAGCGGCATCAGCGGCAGCAGCAACAGCAGCAGCAACAGCGGGATTCGCCGCTGTCAACGGCACCCCACGGCCCCCCATTGCGGGAGCCGACATCACCAACACAGGCACCACAACCGACGCCAACAACACCACTGCTGCCACTGCTGCCACTGCCACTGCCACCATCTCCTCCTCCTCCTCCTCCTCCTCCTCCTCCTCCTCCTCCTCCTCCTCTTCCTCCTCCACTGCTGTCCCCCACCCCTCTGCCGGCGGCAGCAGCAGCAACAGCAGCAACATCGACAACTTAAACACAACCACCCCCAGCAGGCGAGGCGCCGCCATAAAAAATAGCGGCACCGCCCGCGCAGCCACCTCGCCCCCAACCTCGTCGGCCTCGTCGTCGCGAAGCATCTCGCCGCGCTTGAGCAAGCCCAAGATCAAATCAAAGCCCGCGGCAGCCATGCCCGGCCGGCCCGCCAAACGGTCGGCCGACGGCGACGACGACGGCTCCGCCTCGACCTCCCGCTTCAAGCTGCCTCGCACCGACGACTTTTCTTCCGTCGTCAAGAACCGCCTGCAGTCGTACACGCGCACGGGGCAGGCCTGCGACCGGTGCAAGGCATGCCGGCCTGTTGTTCCCTCGCTCCCCCGTATCAATGCTGACCATTCCAGGTCCGCAAGATTCGATGCGACGCCCTGCCCGAGGGCTGCTCCCACTGCATCAATCTCAACCTCGAGTGCTTCGTCACCGACCGCGTCACCGGCCGCACCGAGCGCAGGGGCTACATGCAGGAGCTCGAGCGCGAGAAGAACGGCATGCTGGCCCACATCACCGACCTCGAGAAGATGCTGCGCGACTCGGGCGTCGAGGTCAAGCCCTGGCAGGGCGCCGCCTGGGCCCAGTATCCCCCCGATGTCACCATCGACGACATGGGCCACGCCGTCCACGATGCCGCCTCCAAGGACGATTGGTCCCAGGTCGGCTCGTTGTGGGTTAAAAACGCCGCCTCCAAGCCGCCTCCTCCTCCGCCAAACTTTCCCCGTAACCAGTGGCAGTCGAGGCCGCAGCAGAACCACCTCGGCGTTGGGCCCGACAACGCACCCTTGAGCTCCATCAGGGGCACCAAGCTCTCCCTGCTCGGAACAACCATCGACACCACTTCCTTTGACGCCCCGGACATGGACGAGCCCGGCCACGACGCCCACGTCTCGGCTCCTCTCTACAACAAGTCGGTCCAAGCTTTCCTCCAGTCCTGCATGGGCGTCAACCCCCCCGTCCACGTTGACCTTCCCTCTCGCGATAATGCATTCACCTACGCCGAGTGGTACTTCATGGCAATCGGTGTCTTCCTGCCCGTCCTCCACAAACCATCCTTTATGCGACTGGTGAGTTTGCCCCGGCCCTTGGGAGAGAAGAGGGGCGAGCGGGGAAAGGCGCCGAGGTATTCAGACTGACGCCACATGCGGCACCAGTTGACGAGTATCTACGACGAGCCCAACTTTAAACCTTCGGTCCCGGACCTCGTCATTGTGCACATGGTCTTTAGCACAATCTTCTTCCACTGCGGTGTGCGTAATCGGCAGCAGACGGAACAGCGCAACAACCTCAATGACTTGTCCAACAAGCACTACCACTTTGCCCTCGGCAAGATCTACGATCTGCTCGGCTCCCAAGAGCTGGTCGCCGTGCAGGCCTTGGCCTTGATTGCCCTGCACACGCGGGCATTTCCCAAGCCCGGATGCGGCTCCATTGTGGCCAGCATGGCCCTGCACCGCGCCCTGGAGCTGAATCTGCATCGGTCGTCTAGGACGCCAGGCGCGGGTACCGATCTCCAGAACGAGCTGCGGAAGCGGACATGGTGGGTGATTTTGACCGTCGTGGTGGCCATCAACGGGAGGCGTGGATGTCCCCTGCCCGTCAACGTCCAGGACTTTGATACGGAATTCCCCGAGCCCATCGCCGACGAGCTCCTCACGGAACAAGGCGTCGACACATCACAAACCCTTCCGTGCCCTTATCTGGCAGGGCTTGCCGGCTTCAAGATTGTCCCGCTCTTCATGGAAATGTACGCCAACATATACAGCGTTCGCAGGGACGCGCAAAACTACGTCAACGTTGTCAACGCCCTCGAAGCCCAGCTCCAGCAGTGGGAGGCCGAGCTCCCCGACAGCTTGAGGATAGGCGTCTCCGGTGACCTCGAGACTGCCTCGGCCCCGGCTATATACACGCGCACATTCGCACTCGAGCTGCGACTGTGCCTGCGCCATCCCTCGGTGGCCATGACCACCGACCGGGCCATGATGGCGGACAACACGCGCGTCTGCGAGGAGACGGCTCGCGAGTTCCTGCTCTGCATGACTCAGCTGTACAGGATGAAGTCACTGGACACGACGTGGTATCAAATGTCGGTGTATGGAGTGAGCATTTTTTCGATGCTGGTCGCGCAGTGGGAACGGCGGTTTGAGACTACACCAGACCAAGTGTCGTCGCTACGCCAGGATATGCAAAGCTGGATGGCAATTGTCAGGGAAACAAGCCTGCTCTTAGGTACGACCGCGTCCACGCACGCACCGCAGGCGAGCACTGACACGGCGACAGGCTGCGGAACTGGCATCAGCAGCCAGATTGGACAGATCATTGAACGCACAATCGGCTGGATAGAGCACGACATGCAGCGCATCGAAGCAAAGAAGTCGTCCCCACCGGCGCCGACAGCTATCAAGCAAGAAGACCAGCTGTCAGCGGCAGTTGCGTACCAGCCCGGCCACGCCAGCGAAGGCGTGCCCAATGGCACGCGCGTCGGTCGAGGGGAAGCGCCGTCCAAGGGATACTATCAAGAGCCTGGCCTGAATGGCCAGACGCAGTGTCCTCCATTGGCCTACGAGAATCAACCCCAAGGCAGCGCGTCCGCATCCGTCTACCCGTCGGAGCCGGGAATGTATTACAACGCGACCCCCGCCGCGGCCGTCGTGCCGAACAGCTCTGCGCAGCCCAGCCCCATGCCGACGTTTGTTTCTCAGCCGCCGCAGCACGTCGCTACGCAGGCCCCGACCGATATGATGTGGCAGGCCAGTAGCGGCAATACGTGGCATGACTGGACGGCCGCCATCGCGGACTGCCAGGAGCGATACAGCGCCAACGCGCTCCTGGCTCTCGGCAACACGGGGCGAGGGGCCGTGACGAGTCCGTCGGTGCTGGCCGATGGCACAGTCGGACAGGCGGGCGGCGAAATGGGCATGGTTTCGGCGGGAGCTCAATGGCCGCTGATCATGTTTGACCATACGACACAAGGCTGAGCTGGCGAGGCAAACCAGGGAAGCCGTGCACATGCTTGAACAAAGGAAACCAAGTGTGAGTGGCCGAGGACGGCTGGCGTTTGGGAGTGCGAGACTGGGCATTGGATATACCAAACTGGCGGAAAAGGCCGGACTTGATGGGATAGCATTTCCGCTTCGAGAAGCATTAGGGCATATATCGACACTTTTATTGGCACTTAGACAAACGGTCGGGTGCATGTTACCATCTTCAGCCTTGTTCAATAGGAGGTTCCTGGCTGTGAGACGCGAGTCAGCCTGGGGAGTGAAGGGCGATGTGCATAGCGATGCATCTTTTAATTTTGAATGAAGTTCTTGGCTCGACTTGTCTAGGAGTGATCGCTCTTCCTGTCTACAACCATCTTGTCTGTAAAGCATTCTGCAGTTCTTTTCGTTGGTGCGTGAGGACATGTAGATTACGTAAGCCACCGGGCCAAAGTGCCAGCTCCCATGAACCAGCCCAGGACGAAAGGTGCAAAACTTCGAAACCACATTCGCGAATCGTCACGCCTCAAAATCATTGGCCCTTTGGCGCGCTCCGCGCCTTTTCCCGCAAACTAACGACTGACGCAGATCCACCTTCTTTTCCTACCCTCACTGCTCCCTCTCAGCATCACCCCCTTCACCGAGCTCGCCCGCTACGATGGGCAAGAAGCGGCACGGCCACCCCGACGTCGAGGATGTTCTGGGTCGCCCATGGTGCTACTACTGTTTGTCTCCTACTTCAGTCGAGTTGTCTGGCAGTTATTTGCTTACGTCACATGCCTCAGGCGAGCGAGACTTTGAAGATCTGAAGCTCCTCATCTCCCACCAGAAAGCGAAGCATTTCAAATGCGATCGATGCGGCAGACGTCTCAACACGGCGGGAGGTACGCTGAGGCCAGCCTTCACGAAAACCGGGGCTGACAGCTTTGCGCGCCTTGTAGGTCTCTCTGTGCATCTTAACCAGGTACACAAGGAAACCCTCCACCAGGTCGAAAATGCCCTCCCGAACCGCCAGGGACTCGACGTGGAGATTTTCGGCATGGAGGGCATCCCCCAGGACATACTCGATCAGCACCGCAACCGCATCATCCAAAACTTTTACCAGGCGCAGGAGGACCGCCGAATCGCCACGGGAAACCCGCTGCCCGGCCAGGCTGGGCAGAACACAAGAAAGAAGATCAAGATGGAGACCAAGGAGGAGTTGCTGACGAGGCTGAGGGAATGGCGTGCCATGAAAAATACGGACAGAGAGGCAGCTGCCACGGGTGTCGAAGACGGCGCTGCCCCCGGCTCTGCTGCTCAGACACAATCCGTATGTTTTACTTTTGCTGACCCAAGGGCGCAAGACATGATAGCTTACATCGAGAAATGCAGCAGCCACAGCAAGGATTCGAGCAGCCAGGCTATCCCGGGCAGCTCCAGCACGGCCAGCCTCCCTACGCATACCCAGCCACCGCGCTGCCTTCGCGGGTTCCAGGGGCCCTGGGACCTCCGCCTGGCCTGCCACAGCGGCCATCTGAAGGTTTGACCGGTTCACAAGTCTCCGCTGCGGCAGGAGACGATATTGACAAGATGATTCGCATGGCAGAGGCGGGCGTCAAGACGGCACAGAAGCCTGAGGAGGCTGCGGAGGGGGATAAGAAGTCCAAGAAGGAGAAGAAGGGCCGGCTAGTGTACGACGACGCAGACATCAGTCCCGAGGAGAAGATGGCGGCGATGCCGCGCTATGCCTTTACCCCAGAGGCTGCCGCCGCTTGATCGGCCCGGGGAGAGGAGGGGCGGAGATATGATGGACGGATGGGGTTTCCAAATACCATGAGGTAAGATGGCTCTTCTTTATTTCTGTTCTACTTGTAGGGACTGGCGTCAGGGCAAGAGAGCTACTGTGTGTAGTCACAATGAGTGGCATGAAGTTGCTGTTGCCCGGTCCTGCGGTGGTGATAGCGACTAAGGCGGCGTCGTGACGCTGCAGAATCTCCTGGCAATGAAAATGACAGGTTTCTGTGAATTACGTGACGTCTTGAATCAATTTTGTCAGCCAGAAGAGGCATCGAGAAAAGAGGTCCGTGGACTAATCAGCCGTTTCTGTTCCATCCCCAGGCCAGCATTTGGTTAACACACGGCAAGCTGACCTTGCGCACGGCACGTCGTCGAATCTAGACCCAAACTAAGTTACCCATGGAGCCATTTTTTGGAACATGGGCAGAACAGAGCCAGGAAGCAAGTTGAAATCGAATATGCGGACTCCAGGGTAGGCAGCTGGCAGACCGCTGCAGAACCACCCGCGGAGTCCCGCACCGCTGGAGATGGACGCCAGCCCCACATAGACCGTCGTCGCGGCAACGGCGAAGCGCTAGTGAGCACGCAGCGTCAATCAACAAAGCACGGAAGGGGACGTCACCGGCAAATTGTGTCTCTGCTGGTCGCATCCACAAACAAGGACCCCTACGATCGGGCTTTGCATTTATTCCCGTTCATTCACGCGCTCTTTTCTTGGGACTCTTTCTGCTTTTAGCTTCGTCCTCCCCAGCTAGAGATATTTCGAGGGGAAGCCAGAAGAGGACGCCCCCTTGGTGGTGCATTTTTGTTTGGTTTGTTTTTTCTCCTCCCTCCTCCCTCCTCTGGATGCGACGCCTTTCTCCCATCGACCGACCAAGAACCCTCAGGACAGACACCGTACGAAGACGCTCCTCGAAAGATCAAAGGCCAAGCTCCACCACGGCAAGGTGCTACGGCCAGAGACGAGAGCGGTACTCGGCGGACAAGTGACGAGCAGGGCCCATACGATAATCCAGCAGCGAAGACGGCGGGGAGCTGGCGAGAGCACATGCACGATGGCTGACTCTGGGCAGTCATCCATCACCGTAGCCGGTAAGCACGTTACGTTTCGATACAAATAGAGGCGCGTTCGCTGACTTTGCTGCAGTCCGAGTACGGCCATTCACGATCCGCGAGGCAGCGCAGCTGTAAGCGAACTACTGCTCCCACATGGCAGCGACGACACTGACGATGACACAGTCAAAGGACCGACGATAGCACCGTCTTCTTGGGTGATGGCTCCCTTGCCGGCCTGCCCACCCCGAAGCTTCACCAGCGAGGCCTCCGAAGCGTCATCAAGGTCGTCGACGACCGATGCCTGTACGTTCCCCTTGTTTACCGTTTTGAATCACGGCTGACGCCCAGGCAGAGTCTTTGACCCCCCCGAGGACAACCCGGTTCAGCGCTTCTCGCGGTCCGTTATCCCGACGTCGAAAAAGGTCAAGGACCAAGTCTTTGCCTTTGACCGCGTCTTCGACGAAAACACGACTCAGTCAGACGTCTACGAGGGCACCACCAGGAACCTGCTCGACAGCGTGCTCGACGGCTACAATGCCACGGTATTCGCGTACGGCGCAACGGGCTGCGGAAAGACGCACACAATCACGGGCACCCCCAAGCAGCCCGGCATCATCTTCCTCACCATGCAGGAGCTGTTTGAGAAGATTGGCGAGCGCAGCCAGGACAAGGCGACGGAGCTGAGCCTGAGCTACCTCGAGATCTACAACGAGACGATCCGCGACCTGCTCGTGCCCGGCGGCAGCAAGCAGGGCCTGACGCTCCGGGAGGACAGCAACCAGGCGGTGACGGTGTCCGGGCTCACGAGCCACCACCCCAAGGACGTGCAGGAGGTCATGGACATGATTGTGCAGGGCAACGAGTACCGCACCGTGTCGCCCACCGAGGCCAATGCCACGTCGTCGCGGTCGCACGCCGTGCTGCAGATCAACGTGGCGCAAAAGGACCGCAACGGCGACGTCAGCGAGCCGCACACCATGGCCACGCTCAGCATCATCGACCTGGCCGGCTCGGAGCGCGCCTCGGTCACCAAGAACCGCGGCGAGCGCCTCACCGAGGGCGCCAACATCAACAAGTCGCTCCTCGCCCTCGGCAGCTGCATCAACGCCCTGTGCGATCGCCGCCAGCGCGCCCACGTGCCCTACCGCAACAGCAAGCTGACGCGTCTGCTCAAGTTCTCCCTCGGCGGCAACTGCAAGACGGTCATGATCGTCTGCGTCTCCCCCTCGAGCGCCCACTTTGACGAGACGCAGAACACGCTGCGATACGCGAACCGGGCCAAGAACATCCAGACAAAGGTGACGCGCAACGTCTTCAACGTCAACCGTCACGTCAAGGACTTTCTGGTCAAGATTGACGAGCAAATGGCGCTCATCAACGAGCTCAAGTCCCAGCAGCGCGACGCCGAGAAGATCTTCTTCGCAAAGTTTCGCAAGCAGTGCGAGAAGCGCGACGCGGTGGCCCGCGAGGGCATCCAGCGACTGCGCGCCGCCTACGACAACTCGGCGGCGGAGCGCCAGGAGCGCATTGCAAACATGAAGAAGCTCAAGGCCTTTGAGAGGCGCATCGGCCTCTTGTCGGGCTGGATCGCCGCCTTCGACACCGTCTGCGACCAGCGGGGTGACGACGACTCGATGCCGCAGAACCTGACAGCGGTGCGCAAGACGGCCCAGGGCATCCTTGTCGAGCTGGAGCACAGCAGGCAGCACCTCCACCAGAGGCTGGAGAAGGCGGCCTGGGAGCGCGCCATCGACACGGCGCTGACGCACAGCCTCAAGCAGCTCGGAAGCACCGACGGCACCGACAATGGAGAGGACGCCAGCCTGGCCCGCGAGGCGGGACTGCTCAAAGCCAACTTCAACCGCGAGGTTTACCACGAGGTGCTCGAACAGGAACAGGGCGGCGACGCGGCCATGATGCAGATGCTGCTGACGGCGCAGCTGGACATGGTGGCTTCGCTCGCCGACACGCTTGCCATGGACGAGGGCAGCGCCGTGGCACACGCCAGGCAAATCATAAACCGGCTGCTGCAGACGGGCTACGCGGCCGCGTCGCAGGTGGTCAAGCCCGACGGCGGCGCGATGCCGGCGGTCGAGGCCTTTCCGCCTACGCGCAGGGGCACGCCCAAGCGCAAAAAGGCGGCAGCGTTGTACGTGAAGCCGGTGGGCCCGCCGGCCATGGCGGCGGTGCACAACGAGAACGTCTTTGCCAGCCCCATGAAGTCGTCGCCAAGAAGGCGTAAGGCCCTAGGCGCGGCGAAGAAGGGGGTCAGCTTCACGCCCGTTAAGAAGACAAAGGGCCGGGGCGTGCGGTGGCGCGACGACGAGTCCGAGGAGGGCACCCTGGCCGACTTTGCCAAGACGCCGCAAAAGTTTGCCGAGTCTTCCCCGGAGAGGAGCTCGCCCGAGAAGGCTGTCGCGGAAGCCGCCGCCGAGTCCCATGTGGCGGAGCCGGCGGCGGACCAGACGGGCTCGGCGGGCCCGGACGCGACGGCGGCATCCAAGCCCGCGCGGTTCCAGGCCGGATTCCTGTCCAAGAGCTCGCGTGCGTCTAGCAGCCAGCAAGGAGGATCGCCGCTGCCGACGCCCCCGACGTTCAGCCTGAGCCTGACGTCGAGCCCGCTGTCCGGGACGGAAAGGTCGCAGCCGCTGGGCGCCCTGGATGCCGCCAAGGCCGGCAACATGTCACCCCCAGTGCCGCTATCAGTCCCGCGGACGAGACTCAGCCCCCGACTGCCGCGACCAACCGTGACTTTGGGTGCGGACGAGAACGCGCCACTTCAGCAGCACCAAGGGTCAGCGTCCGAGACGGGATCCGACTCGGAGTGTGGCTCCATCGACCCGCGCAAGCTGCGCAGCGCCATGCACTTGGCCAAGAAGGACAGGGGCCGCCGGGTCAGCGTCTTGACGGCGGCAGCGGCGTCCAATGCCAGGCGCGCGTCGTCGATTAGCTCGGGCCTGTTCACGGGAGGAGGTGGTACCGGTGGCAGCGACCGGGCCAGCGGACGGGGGTCGGGGACGGCCCTGGCAAGCAGCGCCAACGGGATATCGCGCCACCGACGGGGAAGCGTGGAACGCAGACGCAGCCCGCCGCTGACGTGCTCGCCGACGGAGCTCAAGGCGGACCGCAGCTTCACGGCGGGCCAGGCGCGGCGGATGAATGTTGGGGGCAGCGGGACGGCGGGGGGGAGTCCGCGAGGGGCTGTCGGCGAGGCGGCGCGTCGTGTCACTATTAGTGTCGGGGCGGCGGCGGCGCATCGACGGCAGGAGAGCCGGGGTGGAGGAGGGTCGGCGTGGCGATGAGGAGCTCGACCTTGCTCTCTGCTCGGATGGCTTGACCTACCTCTCCCCATAGCAGGAGGGTTCTGTGGCGATACACTTGTACATATTCTTCGACGGTCCACGCGCTTGTCTGGACCATGGTTTTCGCCTTGCTTCCCGTTCAAGGGGGCGGCGGGGGTTTACGGCGTTGGGGGAGGCTTGACTGTCTCGACTTCAAGTTGCACAGTGGGAGGGTTGTAGGATGAAGAGTGTGTGCTGTAATGATACTTCCACAGAGGGCTCGCGTTTCGTTTTGGGTGAGGCTATGAAGCCAGCTATCAGCTTTGCTTTGCCGCTTGGATGTCGCCTTGGTCGGCGGCACTCCACGCCTTGTTTTTGCCGTAGCCGTCTTGATGGACACTGGACGGCCAGGTGCAGTGATAAGCCGTCATACTTGGTGTCTTGTGGCTGCAGGACTGCTGAACTCCGGGAGCCGCATCACCACCAGACCACTTAACCGGCACCACTACCTACGACACCATCGTCACCTCTTTCAAGCGCGCAATTTCTCGTCAGGACGCTTCCAATTAAGCACAGACGAGTCAGCACTCAGCCACGCTTGTCTCTCCAGCCGGGCGGTCAATCTTTCACAATTGCCTGCTAGCAAAACAAAATCACTGCAGTGGCAAGTGCGAAACGCTGCCATCGGGTGTTTCTTCACACACGAGATGGACACGTTGGTACGGTTAATCCAAAAGCTCAAAGTGGACAGTGTCAGGATGCTTTGCGCTGTCTCTTCAATCTACTCAGTGATCCTACGAAGAAGAAGGCCCGTCGTCCCCTTGATCTCAAGGGTCTGGCGCATCAGCCCGGTCAAGGGATGAGCTCCTTGCTCTCGAGCAAGTCCCACGTCGGTGCCTTTTCGGGGTCGTAGTACATGTCGAAACGACCAGCTTGATGCTTTTCATCAATGTACCACATGGCCCAGTCTCGTACGTACTGCCACTCGGTGACGGCCGTGCCTAAAGCCCTATCGTCTCGGCCGACACCTTCGAGCACCTCCTTTATCCACTCTACACAGTTCCAGCCCTCAGTTTCCGCTCGTATTGGCGTGTCCCGCAGAATGGCCTCGAGCCGTTGCCTGTTCTCGATTTTGCCGACTACGATACGCACCAGCAGCCGGGGCGTCGGTTTCATGTAAATGTCCAGGTATTCGTAGTACCAGTCCGAATGGGGCCAGCTGCCGTTCTTGATATGGCACACGAGACCTCGACTACTAGGGGTCACCTTTTAAGGCCCGATCGTAAAGGCCCAATGATATCTAGACGCTGTAAACTCGGTGTCGCGGAGGCCAGTCTAGGCAAGGGTCAAGTCGACAAACTTATCCTCGAGCCCGGGCATAATGGCATCGCCGCCGCCGCGGGCATACAAGGCAACGTAGAGACGGTCCTTTCCCGGGGGCATTTTCGACGAGACCGATGCTGAGATGAAGATGACGTTTGCTTTCGGAATTAAATGTAGGCGTCACAGTTCCTGACAATGAAGGCGAGGCGGACTGGCGCATGGGAGAGCCGGCCGAGGGACTTTGCAGCAAAGACCGGACAGGTCCAATAGCGAAGAGGCAAGGGCTTTTATGTCGCTGGCGGCCATGCTTGTTCCACGTGTGTGACTCGCCTAGGTAATGGCGGACTATGATCCAAGACCGCTTGTCGCTGCTGGGTTGCCGTCACTCCGGGTGAGTAACTGGAGACTCTCGTCACCGGCTCACGATTTGGTGAATCAAAGAACACGGGGGTGACGGTGACCATAATATTCCCCTTGACAATTCTCACGTCAATGGCTTTCAAGTGATTCATTGAGCTGCTCCGTCATTGCAAGTGTGACGGCTAGTGGTATTCACAGCATGCGCCGACGATGCTATGAATATTGTAGACGACGCACTGAACACCAGCGATGACCAGTAGCGAGCAAATCACGCTGCCGTAGATACTGGCCACCCCTGTTGCTTGAGTAGGGGAGATGAACTGCAGAGCGAAGCTCACCATCCATGCCCCGTCTGTACGTAGCTCGTTAAGATGCGCTCCTTGGACTCGGCGCGGCATTTATGCAGCCCATCTTGCGGCGTCTGGCCCCTGGTCCGGCTCATGGCAACGTCATCGTAGGTCTTGCCCTTTGAGATCCCGACCAAATAGCACAGCCGCCCTTGACCTTCAAGACGAGCTTGTGAACCTCCTGGTCATATCCAAAGAAACCATCGCCTCCCCTAGCGGCATCAAACAGAGTCGTGATCCCGAAGGGACCTACGAGTACGTGCTGCCGTTGTGATAAGGCGCAGACTTGGGCTTCAGATGTGCCAGGCGAAGAGTCACTTTGGCAATGTCAAAAGGAGCAATCCGGCCGCGTACAAGGATGGAAATCACTGAAGACGATGCATTCCAGCGATACATTGGCTTGCTCGCAGAGACCACCGAGGCAGAAGTCCTCGCAAGTTCGGCCGCCACAAACTGTTACCGTTGATCTTGCAACGGTTCCCAACTTCAAAGACTTTGAGCTGCTTTGCAATACGTATTTTCCAGGTGTCCATATGTCATGGCGCCTGTGACAGGCGTGCCTCCTTGAAATTGCCGCGTTCTTGTACAACATGAATGGTTTCACCTTGATGTGCATGCTGAACTGCTTATATATATATATGTAGACACATCTACCTTCCATCCGTACACGTAGACACCTACTTTTTGACGGGCAACCTGCAAACCGAAAATCCATCAGTGTCCAGAGACAATGGCGACGCATAATGTCTATGCGGTATACAAGAGAGACACGCGAGCGACACCTCCTGTATTGGATGATTGCAACTTCAAACAGTATCGTAACGTCTGGCGACCATGACAAACTGCTCAACACGACGGGACAGACGACTGCGACTGGCCTCATCGACATGGCCAGACTGACCGCCCAGCACATTAGCCCCGTTCTTCCGTCGTCTATCAACTGTTCCAGTCCGTCATTGCTACCAGAACGATTGCGCTCGCGGCCTTCCAGCAGCTGGCAGCCGTGAAAAGGGACCCAGAGATGGAAAATGGCACGCGTCCCACAGATGCTTCTTAGAGGGCCTCGTTGAGGCACTTTCGCTTGCTGGGCAGCAATGAATGGAGATGCAGTTGACGGGTTACCGGTGCGGAAACCCAACAAGACGTCGAGAGCGTAACATTCGCCAACAAGTTCGCAGCCCTCAACCTCGACCCGAAGAGAGAGGGCGATGCAGCCGCCGGCAATTCAAGTGCCGACGGCCCGGCCATGATGATACATTGGCTCCCCGGCGACGCCGGCAGAAGAGGCCATCCGGCAAAGGCAAAAGGCTAAAAGGAAGCCGAGCAGCAAAAGAAGCAGCCGCAGGAAAAGAGGCCGACACTCGACGGTGTGCCATTCGCGAGTTACTGTATCATCGAAGATGGGGACGGTGGCCTCGTCACTGACTACCTCATTGCCGTCTACCACCTCGTCGGCGAGCTGTGCAAAATGCGGTCCTACGTCCAGTCGCCCTAGCATGAAGTTGCTTGCGACGGCCTCAATGGCGCCGTTGCTGGAACTACGTCCAACGATGCCATCTCTACTATCAAGCAACTATCCGCGGAAATGTTCGACGACTTTCCGGGCCATGATTCCCACGGAATCGTTATCAACACCATCACAAAGGGATATCACAACAAGGCCAAGGCAAACTTGCCATCGCCATCGATATCTGGGCGTCTTCGCCTGGCCCGATCCAGAGAGATATAGTCAAAGTGATATGGTATTGACCTCAAGGAACAGCTCTTGATCTACGCCTACCGTGACCTCTGCGACTTCATCGCCGACTTCCAAAGGACTCGCAGTGGAAGCCATCCAGATGCATACTCGCCGAGATTGGCCACTGAGACCCCAAACTTGACCTGCAAAAGGCCAGCAGCCAAGAGAGAATCGCGTGGCGCCGGTCGTACATTATCAACTGGCTCTTCGATCTCGTTAATCTTTACTCCTGCCCTATTGTTCAGAGCATTTCGGATCTGGACATCTACATTCTTTAGCCACAGTCAAGCAGGGTCTCGATCAAGACGATATGCTGCGTGTACGGCAACTTCGAGAGGAACTGCATCGAGTGCGAATTACTCAGGAAGCTCCACGGAGATTTCAGAGATGGGCTTGAAGAGAGCGTTTTCTTGCCGGGGTTGCAAACCGTTCCGCGCTCCTGCTTTTCGCATCTCAACGGCAGCGGCCCCCGGGAGTACTCGCCGTTCGTGGGCGGTGTCGGACTGATGGAAGGACTGGAGCTTGCCTACATGGCTGGCATCAAGGTTTGGGGCCGGGTCTCAAAACCCGAGCTTTGCCGTCCACCTCCACAACATGCTTGTTCAAAAAGGCTACATCAAAAACTCCTTCTGCCTGTTTACGTTCGTAGGGCATGTGTTGTGTTCCGGGACGCAATTTTCGCCGGCAAAGTTGCTCCAACATTTCGTTTCAAGTTGGCCTTTGCCGCACAATTTGGTAGGCAGAGATCCATATGCACCGATTCAGACGCAGGCGCACAGTGGGTGTGTCAATCAACTGCATGAGTTGCTCAGGGTAAACGAAAACAGGCTCTTCATCGACAAGTGGAGCTTGCTCCTATACCGCCCGGCGGCATGGAATCTTGAAAAAAATACGTGGGGACGACATTCCCGCTACCTCGGCCCGATGCGTAAATCTCATAGTTGGGAAGAAGTTGGTGGTCAACCCCAAGACCGGAGCGCAACGTCTAGAGGACTCTGATCTTATAGGTCGTGCGGATGCCGTCTATCTAAAAAACAAGGCGCTGGAAGAGAAGTACAAGACTAAACCGGCAAGCAGCGATAGCAGACTCAAATCGGGGCTTTGAGAGCGTTGCAGAACAGATCGGCTGCTTGTATCTTGGAGTTCACAATGCAAAAGCCGCGTGAGAACTTATTTCCGCAGTGGAGTTGACGGCGATGCCGATATGTCAACATCCAAGCTGCTAGAATCTATCAGAGAGGACGTTTTGCGGAAATTCGCGGCATAAGACCCGTCCTAAACCTCAATCTGAAAGCGACTCTCGCGCAAATCATGGTGATCTGATAAAGGCCGCAGGAGAGCGGCAACTGGGCGTGGCGGAAGATCTACCAGGAAGAGGCGTCGGGCAGAGATGACAAAAGAGGTTAGCTTACTTGGGTGGCTCTGGTTGGGGAAGATGACGAGTGTCTGACAATCATGGCAGAACGTTTGAGAAGGAGAAAACGGGAGTCCTGAACCACGTATGCTGGGACGGTTTGGACCAAGGACATGTCGGAAAGTGCGTGGAAAAGCAGAAGGCCAAGGACCCTGACCAGTGCGTGGTCATGTAGGAGATGCGAGCAGAGTCCGTCCGAGGGTGTTCTTGTCTCGAGGCTCGGAAGCTCGGCTCTTTGGGATCTTGATCGAGGGTAGTCAGGCAGACAGTAGGTCGCCGACGGGAATCCGCTGGCAAAGGAGTAGCCGTTTGAGGCCCCTGAGAGCTGACCAGGGAGCATCCGACGCCGTGGCTGGTCCCTCCGCTTTCTCGTATCGGACTGACGCGTATGCAGACCAGCGCTTCCGGTTCAGAAGCCGCATCGATGGGGGAAGCATGGACGGCACATGTTTTGCCATGTTCTGAGTTCGGATGATGAAGCCGACTCCTGACGCGTGCCTCTGCATGCGTCCGATGCAGTCATCTCGGGGCGATTGTGCGAGGGAAGGCTGATTATAGGGAAGCATTGATGAAACGCTGAGAAGTTGGCAATGGTCCGGGAGTCGGAACGGATAAGGAATGCTTCCGCCTCGGCCCGCTCTTCCGGCAGCCGAAGAAATCACAGTGTTGCTGAGTCTGAGATGGCACTGTTTTCAGCGCCGCCGCCTCACAAGTTCCATCCGAGACCTCCCTCTATTCGCCAGCGGGGAAAGCAGCACCGCGTCAACCGTCTCACGCGCCGAAGCAGCAATGGACTGCAGCAGCAGCAGCGGCGGCGGCGGCGGCGGCGGAACACGGAATCACGCCGGGACGGCAGCGACAGCAACAATCACGGTGGAGGAGCAAGGCGCCGCCGCAGAAGCAGCGTCAACAGCACTGCCAACATCCGAAGCCACGTCCACAACTCGGCGATACATGCGCTCCCGCGTCGCCAACGCCTGCGACGGCTGCAAGGCCCGCAAAGTGCGCTGCGATGGCCGCCTGCCCTGCGGCTACTGCGCCGGCCGCCAGCGGGCCAGCTCGTGCAGTTATTCGCCCCAGCGACGGCGGCCCGGCGGAAGAGCTGCCCTTCATTCCCATTCCCACTCTCATCCTCATCCTCATCATCTCCGACAGCAGCAGCAGCAGCAGCACCACCACCACCACCACCAACAACAGGTCTCCGGCAAGACGCCTCCGCCCGCTCCACCCCCCGACCGACCCGACCGGCAAATCTCGGTGGCTGTTGAGCAGCAGCCGGAGAGCGAGGCCGAGGGGCAACAATGTCGAGAATCGCCGACGCCGACGCCGCCTCTGCATCCGCCACCGATCCGCACTCCCGGCCCCGAACCCCCGTTGGCAGCCGAGGACGAGACCGACGTCCCCCGTGAGGCGAGGCTGCTTTGCGATGCCCACGGCAAGCTCGTCTTCATTGGCGACTGCGCGCCCCTGTCCTTCTTCCAGTCGGTGCGCCAGCTCGTCACCACCCGCGTCGGCCAAAACTCTGCCTTTGCACCCGAGTCGAGCCGCTACTCCGTCTTGGAGAATGCCGCCTCGTCGTCGACGTCGGAGGCGGCCACGTCAGCGCCCGACGGCCGGCGCAGGGGGAGAATCACCGGCGCCGGCAGAGGCCATGGCGCCCCGGAGGTGCGGCCCGTCGACGTGGCCGGCGCCGTGGCCGCCTACTTGTCCATGACGACGGGCCTAATCGACCTGTTCGACCGCACCCGCCTCGTCGAGGACCTGGTGCTATGGGCCAACCTGGACCGCTGCTCCGGCTCAGGTGTTGGCGGCGATGACGACGTGGCCTCCGTCGTAAACTATCTCGTCCTCGCCATTGGCCGGCTGCTCGACGACGAGGAGCTCTCGCGCGCCTACTTTGAGCATGCGCGCGACCGAGCCTACGCCTCCCTCAGCGGCTGCAGCCTCGGCGTCGGGACCGTCCAGGCCTTCGCCCTCGTCACCATCTACATGCTCTGCTCATGCCAGCTCAACGGCGCCTTTCTCTTCTTCGGTATCGCCGTTCGCGCCGCCTACTCCATCGGCGTGCACCGCACCGAGGTCAACGCTCGCTTCGGCCAAGATGGACACCGCCAGCGCGACCGGCTGTGGAAGAGCCTGCGCGTCGTCGATCTCTTCCTGAGTACGTCCATGGGCCGCCCGCCGGCCACGTCTGACGTCGACTGCACTGTGTCATACCGCTGTGCCCCCGCCGACGAGGGCGGTGATCTGCTCGATGCGTCGGTCCAGATCCTGCTCATCACCGAATGCATCGTCCTCGAGGTTTACTCGCGCCGTAAGATATCACTGCAGCTGACCGAGGGCATCTCGCGCCAGCTGCGCGACTGGTCCGTCCGCTGGCTGCCGCACCTCAAGGACGTTGTGGCTGGGCGAGGCGACGCCCAGGCAGTTGGCGCCTGCCAAGTGCTCGCCTCGTACTACTACGCCGTCATGCTCGTCTCCCGCCCCTTTCTCATGTACGAGCTCTGTCGGCGTCTGTCCGACGGCGGCTCGACGCCGAGGAGGGCCTTGCCGACGTCGGGCAGGACCAAGCTGGCAGATGCGTGCATCGACGCCGCCAGCCTCATGGTCGATTCTATCCTCGACCTTGTAGACAAGGGGCTCTTAAACGTCCGAGTGCCTTTGATGGTGTATGTTTTTCTACCGTCACTTTCCCATGTCCCTTCTCCATGCCCTCTTCTGTTTCTCGCACGCCTTGTATACATCCTGCCTTACCTTCCCTATGCTTTTCAAGGTCTGCCAGTATGCTAAGCAGTTGCTGACAGGTCCTGGCTCTTTGCCTCATCCCTCGTCCTCGGCGTCGGTCTACTCGGCGGATTCGGTTGCATTCTAGAAAAGTATAGTCGCATGTCCATCCAGGGCCTCGATCACTTCTCCAAGACGGATGGCCACGCCACGCAGTACTCGCTTATCGCGCAGTCCCTCCTCGCGACGGCGCTCGAGTACTTGGAGCGGCAGGAACTCGAGGAGCGGCAGCGGCGGACCGAGAGCTCGAGCCAGCTCTTTGGCCTAATGCCGCCCGAGTCGCGTGCGAGCCCGTCTTCGGTGGCCGGAACGCCTGCTCAGTCGAGGGGCCCGCCAAGCCAGGGAAGGCCCAGAGCTAGTCCCGCTGGGCCGCCGCCGCCAGGGCCAGGGCCGGTATACCCAGGCACCCGCAACCGCGAGGGTCCCGACAGGGAAAGGGGCCGGCCATTCTGGGACCACCAAGGCATGGGCTTGGGCGGCGGGCTGGGGGACGCGGGCTCGGGGCTACTGGGCTTCTCAGAGTCTTTGCTGCAGACCCCACCGGATGGGGACTTTTGGAACGGAGCAGATCTGCTGGGGGCGGAGGCGGAGGCGGGCTCGGCCCTCAACCTGTTTCCGCTGCTCGAGGCCGGAGGAGGCATTGACCTGGCACACTACCTGTAAGCCTCGACGCCGACCCCCGGGGTGGCTTGTATACCGGCTGTTTTGATGTTGTTCTACTGAGCTGGCGACATGCTACAAAACTACTAGATGTACAACAATGTGGCCATTGCCCCAGGTTCACACTGCCTCCTCACCCCGACTAGTTTGCCCACCTAGAGCTCCAGGGCGCCCCTGAGAATCTGCATAAACTTCCAGACATCCTCAAAGGAGCAGTAGAGGGGCACAGGGGCGATGCGAATGACGTCGGGTTTACGCTTGTCACAGGCGACGCCGTTTTCCTCAAGAACCCGGGCAACAGCCTCGAGCAGGCCCTCGCGCAGGAGAAGGCTCAGCTGTGTGCCGCGCTGGGAAGGCTCTGACGGGGTCAGGAGGCGGAACAGGGGCGGCTCCTTGCTGGGGGCCTGGGCGAGCATCTGATGGAGGAGGTGCTCGGCGTAGGCGGTCAGGACGAGGGCCTTTGAGCGTAGGTCGCGCATCGACGTCTTGGTAAAGACGGAGAGGGCGGCGGCGAGGCTGGCGAGGTCGATGACCGAGGGGTTGGATAACTGGAAGCCGCCGGCGCCGGGGGTGGGGACGAAGAGGTTGTCCATGTTGAAGCGGACGCTCTTGTCGCCGCCGTACCAGCCCATGAGGCGCGGGCGGTAGACGGGCGACTCGGGCGAGGAAGCGTCGGCGGCCCACTCGACGCCGCCGTGGCGCTCGTGGACAAAGGCCCCGGCAATGGCGCCGGGCCCGGCGTTGAGGTACTTGTAGGTGCACCAGCAGGCAAAGTCGACGTCCCAGTCGTGCAGGCGCAGCTCGACGTTGCCGGCGGCGTGAGCGAGATCCCAGCCGACGACGATGCCGCGGGCCTTTGCGTAGGCGGTGATGGTGGCCATGTCGAAGAGCTGGCCCGAATAGTACTGGATGCCCGGCAGCAGCAGCAGGGCCGTCTCGTCGGCGTGCTCGTCGATGGCGCGCAGGACCTGCTCGGTGGGGATGAGGGCGGTGCCGGCGTCGGGCTCGAGCTTGACCATGCTCGAGGCCGGGTCGAGGCCGTGCCAGCGCACCTGGCTCTCGATGGCGTAGTGGTCGCTGGGGAAGGGCTTCCACTCGAGGATGACCTTGTGGCGGCGGCCCGAGGGGCGGTAGAAGCTGGCCATCATGAGGTGCAGGTTGACGGTGAGCGTGTTCATGATGACGACCTCGTGCGGGGAGCAGCCGACGATGGCAGCCGAAGTGCGCGCGCACGCCTCGGCCAGGTCCTGCCACTGCGTCAGGGGCGAGTTTGCCATGTCGGTGAAGTGGCCGTTGACGCCAATCGACGCCCACGTCTCGAGCTGCGCGTCAATGTTTCGGCGGACGGCCCGAGGCTGCGCGCCGAGCGAGTTGCCGACAAAGTAGATGGCCTGCTCGTCTTGGTGCTCATGCGGCTGGCCATTGGGCGCGACACTCTGCTGGGCTGTTGGGCGGACATGTCAGTCTCTCATTGCGGTTCAATTCATCCCAGCGGGTGATGAGACGGCGTGTACACATACCAGGCAGTGAGCCGTCGAGCGCGCGCTTCTTGAGCGAAGCCTTGGTCGGCAGCAGGAACTCGTCACGCAGGTGACGCAGCTTGTCCTGGTCGTCCAGACGCCGCGCAAAGGCAGCCGTGTCGGCGTCGGGCGGGAACCGCGGAGCCTCCCCGCCGCGCAGCCGGTCGACGTAAGCCGACAGGTCATCCATGGTCATTGGCGTCGAAGGAATGGCGGGAGAGGTGCCGGTGCAGCGATGGTGGTTCAGGTGGTCAAGGGCGTGAATCTGCGGGGGACAATGCCGAGGACGGCGGGGTGAGGAGGAGGAGGAGGAGGAGGAGGAGGAGGACGACGACGAAGAAGAAGAAGAAGAAGAGGAGAAATGAGCCAAGGAGGATGCAGTAGATAGTGAATAGGCAACTCGGCGACGTACCTGTTGCATCGCCTTGGACTTGAGGGCCCTCACCTTATGCATACTGGATATCGCGTGGTGCTACATCAACCTTGACGATAGTCTTAACCTTGAGAGCTTCGGATACGGAAGACACGGTGATTGGCCAGGCGGAAGAGGAGACAGGCCGAATCCCGAGCACCGAGCCCGGCGAAGATCCGAGGAGAATGTACAGTGTACTGTACGTACAATGCACCCGGTGATTTAATGCCCGAGAAATGCGGATGTAACTAATTAATGCTCCGTTCCGTTTTGTGCTCTGGTTCGACGCAACTTGACGATTGTATAAGCTTCCCGAACTGTCGTTGCTGAAATTGCAGAGAATGAAAAGGATTTAAACGACGTGTTCAACCCACTTATTTTCCATCGTCGGCTTGTGAGCTTATTATCCTCGCTAACTGTGGAGCCCTGCTGGCATCGTGTCCCGGAGAGAGCAAGTCCGCAACCGTGAAGTAGATTGCAAGCCAAAGGAGATGTTGCGCCCGTGGTCTCCGAGCCATTATGCTGCTTCTTTTACTCTGTTCGCTTAAAGTGCAAGGACGCTTGCTGTATAAATCTACCCAGCTTCATTCTACTTTGCTCGGACTGGGCATACTTTGCCTCGGCGGACCTGAATATGTGCTCTATTACGCTGCAAAGCCATCCATACAACAATGTCAATTTCACTTTCGCAACATAGCATGCTTGGATCAAGTAGGCCCGCGGTAGCCCAACGCTTACGCGTACTACAGCTGACTTGCCGCCAAGCGGTTTCACCGATGGAAAGGGGCATGAGACAACTGTATACGTGCCTCGGCAAACAAGCCCGACCCGAGTCACACTAGTATTGCCGCTTGCGAAACTTCTCCGAGTCGAGTTCAGCTCATATCTTCAGTCGCCCCGCTGACAACCAAACATCATGACTCTGTCGCCCAACGAATATTGCTTGAACGCCCGGTTGTGCCACCACCTAATCTACAGCTTTAGACTGTTTTTAGCGGTAATGGAGGGCGAAGTATCTGTCTCTCAAACGATTCCGCACAGGTGCCCAAATTCAATAACGTGGCCTGCTCATCGCACAAATAATTCGAACGTACAAAGTTAAGTTAATATAACATTGCACTTTTACTCCTGACGCTATGGGCACGCATAATAACCGAGTAGCGGTATGGCATGCGTGATTTCTATGAAGCTTGGCTACTAGGATGTTTACTAGTTAAGCCTGCGGCTGGAAGTCGGGGACACGCGCCTTTGCCACGCCCTTACTTTCATCTTGCCGCACCATTCAGTGTGTTCCACCCCATCCAAAGGTCATAGTCCTCAAATTCATCGTCTTGATCAATACTAGGTTATGTGGGACTTGAAACTGGCCGGTTTAATTTGCCTGGTATATTTTGCAGGGGCCCACGCTTGATCGAAGACGCGTCGCTCCGTTCACTCATGACTGTTAATAAACCAGGTAATATCCCGGGACACACTGCCACTCAAGCTCACTCTCTGGCCTCATAGCTGCTTAACAGACCCAGCTTCGCGGGGGCTTTCGTGAGGAATTCAGCAATGTGCTTTCCTTTTTGATTGACTCGCGATGGGTTGAAGCCTCACCACGATTTCTTATTGCAAGGCTAAATGGTTATTCAGAATCCGGTGAGCTAGGGTTGCGCATCACCAGCCAGGAACGAACTGAGATTTTTTATTGTTATAATCCTGGTTGACTGTATATGTTCTGTCTTCGAGTGATATGCGCTGTCTTTACGGTAGGGTCGTCCAGCCCATGATTCGAATCCAGCGGATATCAGGAGTACGGCAGACTCTGAATCGACCACGATAATTGTTGCCAAGAGTTGCGTGAACATTGATAAAATTAGGAGCCCGATGAATGTAACAGAGGAAACCAGGATTAGAACACAGGAACATTTCTGCGAGCCCGGCGTTTGCCGTGGTTTCGACAACTAGCGTATCGCGCTAGAATCTAAACCCTTGGTTGCATGATATTCGACAGTATGTTCAAATAGACTCAACCGAGTTCGATTTTTGGCTCGTGACAGCCATCCGCCCCGCATTTTTTAAATTGACGAGACCGGGACTATACGGCTCGCTGCCAAAGACTTGTTTAGGCGCTGGCCTGGTTAGTGACGGGAAATCGTAGCTGGTGGTTAAGAGGAGCACCGACAGGACTACAGTAAAGGAGCAGAAATACATAGCTGCCAAGGATTGCCACAGTGACAGAACGGAACTCCAGTAAACATATCGAAACAGAATCGCCAGTAAGAAAGTTCGAGTGCAGTACTAGCCGCTCAATATACTGAGGCGTCGAGGCCATCTAGAAACGATGAAGCGCTGGGAAACATTAGTATTTAGACAAGCAGCAGGACCATCGTGACTCTAAATGTCTGATAAACCGGCGTTAAAGCAGACCAGAAAATTCTGTTCCTGCATCGGAGCGGGAATCCCACTCCGTTTCTCTCTTGCACCATCTTTGGCCCGACCTTTCACGGCCAGCCGCATGTAGGATAATATCTAGACGACTAACAGCTTTGCAGAATTATCCTAGCAAAGGCAAACCCGAAGTGCAATATTCGGAGTTAAAGGGGGCATAGACATGGTTCACAAAACATGTTCCCCTTGGTGCTGAGGGAAAACTCTTCGACTAGGGATACCGGTCCGAGTGTAAACTTTGGTCACGGATACTCCCTTCGGTCGTGCCAACGGTGATACTTACCGTCTCAACGGACTTACTGCGGAGGATCCTGATTAGGGACTCGTCAGACACGTTTCTCAAGGGCTGCAAAGAGCAGACCCTGCCACCGGCGTTTAATGTCGGTATGGACCCCGAGAAGAAAACCGCGGACTCCGACTCCGGGACGCGAATGCCGCGTAATTCGCTCCTCAAAACCGGGACACTACGGTGATTATCGCTGTATGAGATACAGAGAGAGCTAAAGGGCTGATTTGTTGTCGTCACTGACTCGGGCAGAAATGAGAGATGTCTCTCGGCATTAAAGACGATTGGCAAAATTTCCGGGGTCGCAAGGCCCTTCTATTGGTCTTGATCCGTACACCGTAGAGACGCAGCCACTGCAGCCAATGTCTTTGCCGAAATTTAAACGCCGAAATATCTTGTACCCCTTCTGTTTCCGTGGAGCTGAAGTCCATCCTCCGCCGATCACGGCAGTCAAGGGATCAAATAACAAATGATACATTACATTACAGTGCTTTTCCTTGTATCCCCTTGATTACTGTTATCTTCAACAACGAATGATTGACGCGATTTGTCGGCCTTGTCGGCTCGTGACGCTAACCATTCGCCACAGGCAAACTTATAGTTAGACCGCTTCATATCACTTTTCCCTTAAAGAACTCACTAACTCTTATTATTACGAGTTTTTTTGTACTTGATTTCGTCTTTATAGGCTTGAGAAAAGATGAGAATGGTATAAAGGCTCAGACCGGCAGTTTCAGCCTCCCTTCTCAGGCCAAGCACGACGAGGTATGCTACTCGCAAACTCTGGAATTCAGACATTCAAACATCCCGAACGTAGACAGATGAAAATAAGAAGATGAGCGAGTTTGCTAAGTTTCCATTGATTATATAAAGGCACCGTGCTTTCGCCTCCAGTTCGGATTTGCTCATCACAACACCATCCCACCACAAGTCAACTAAAGAGCTCTCGCTCAGCTTCCCAAGGCTCCGATCTCCGTACACACTCCGATTCAAAATGAAGGTCACCGTTTCTATCGCTCTCTTCTTTGCTGCCTTGGCCCAGGCCGCCGAGACGGTCCCTCAGGGCGCTCAGGCTCCTCAGGCTCCTCAGGCTCCTCAGGCTCCTCAGGCTCCACAGGAGGCCGGCAAGATGGCCGAGGCCGAATTTGGCCCACTCTCGCCTGAGATTAAGAAGCTTGGTAGAGATCTCGCTCGCTTCGGCGGCTGCTTCCTCCAGCGCTTCTGGAACGACGCCCAGCGCATCAACTGCGGCAAATGCGAGCAAGGCGGCGACTACCAGAGCAGCAACCTTGTCTCTTGCATCTGCGACAACCAAGACCAAGCCGCTCATCATATCCGCCGCAACTTTAACGTCTGCGTCGATCCCAAGGCCGCTTTCAGCCAAATCATCCGGGAAGTCGGTGCTGGTAAGAATTAGTCCCCACCCTCACAGCATCATCTTCAGTCCGTTAATATATGTATAAAAGACGTCGGCGGCCTCGGCCTCAGCGCTCTCTGCGGCGCCTATGCAGGTGGCCGGCACCATGGCCACCCCGGACAGCGCCCCCAGCCCCCGCAGACTGAGCCTCACTACGACTAGGTGGTTACCTGGGCATATAAAGCTGGGGAAAACAAGCATGATGCCTATAGAGTAGAATCCGGCTTAACAGCGATTATTGACGGATCAATGATGCTACTGATCAATGAATAATAATATTTACTTGGACTATTGGCGCCTAACACGAGTACTTTGTGAAAGAGATTGTAAGCTATACGGCATTCGAACTCATTGCTGGAACACAAGCTATTCAAACGATCAAGCGGCGAGCCACGGTGCTGCAATGGTTCTTCCATCCTCGCTGGCCCTTGTCTGGCTCGGCCTGACAGGCGCCTAGCTTCAGTTCAGCTGGCTAATGTGACGACAGAAGAGGACAGAGAGGTCCTGGTTGGACAGTGGAATGGCATCAAAGGCAGGTGACAGATGCAGACGGTGAATCAAGCGCCTGAAGGCGAGGCCGAGGAGCAGCCGGAGAACAGGCCAAAAAAAGGAAGGGAAGCCAGGAGAGAGCAAGGAGCAGAAACCCGAAGAGCAGCCAAAGATGGAGGAGGCACGTCATCGTCTCGCCATCGGGCCGTCGACAAAGGCATCGAAACCCCGTGGAACCATGCCATGAGGCACGTAGACAAGCTGCACTAGGAAGGGTTTTTAGGCATTGGCATCAATATTGCCGCTATTAGCACGGGTGCACGTTCCCCCACGCGCTTGATATATAAAAAGAGTGTACCTTATGTACTGGCGGATGGAGTAGGTCGATTACAAGCATCCATCGCTAGGCGGCCGCTTTGGTCAGTAAGGGCCGCCGAGTAGCCGCTAGAGATAGACCCCTAGAAAAACCTCAACATGTTCCTATAAGTAAGTACTGTACCTTAGAGAGTGCAATGCTCTAGGCATACAACAGGAGGTAGAAATATCTACACAGTGCAACGTTATAAACATATACATCAGAGCAGGAGGTAGACTCTTGCCCAGGTAGGGTTCATATGTACAAGGTATCCCTACCTATATACCGGTGTCAGGTAGTATGTTTTAGCACGAGGAACTGCAGGTCCCAAGTTTGCCGGAATACTGAGGCGTAACACTAGATTCAGTTGGGAAGTTATTCTGCAAGTAGTTGAGTCAACTGCATACAGGCAAGCAGTAATAAAAGTTCTGAGTGCGAAGCAGCTATTTGTGGGCTCTGCACTCAAAGAGACCAAGAGGATTGCCAATCTTTCACGCTGCAACCAGAGGCTTATCTTGATATATATCTGCAACGATAGAACTTCGTGTTTTGTCGACAGTCTTTTTTGAATATTATTAGTTGCAAGCTGATTATCACTAGTTGGTTCCCCCGGAAAGACTGCAAAGGCTCGAGCATTACAGCGATGGGTGTCTTCTCCACAAGGCAATCTCCAGATCACCATCCGCAGAATCCCGGCGGTCAACAGCAGCCGCCAGGCACTGCAGAGTCACTTTCTAGTAAGACTGAGCTTTGATCAGAACTCAAGTGCATGGAGATGATGCGAGCTAACATGGTGTCGTTAGAGCAAAATAATGGGAAACTGGCCCTTGTTCCGACACCTTCTGATGACCCAGACGATCCCTTAGTAAGTCTACTCACTTTCACTAGAATCTAGTGCTTGAACTATATCATAGACATGGCCTATGTGGCGCAAGTGTGTAAACTTTGGACTCCTTTCTGAAATGACGATTAGTATCTTTACCGGGTGAGTAACGGTTTCTTTGGTCGAAAGCAATGGGCATCAATACTACTTAGGATATCTATTGATCACATATTTTGGCCACAAATGAAAAAAGATCTACAAGTGGAATTCGAAGATCTTACGAATGCTAAGCCCACTCAACTTGCCGCCGAGGCTATATCATGCATCGTCTTTATTCCTTTTGCTCAAAAATACGGTAGACGCCCCGTCTATCTTGTATCGACAGCCCTCTACACGATAGCAACCTGGTGGTGCGTTTGTCAGCAGACAAGGGCAGATATTCACTTGGGCAATATCCTCAAAGGATTTGCTGGCGCAGTCAACGAGACAGCCGTTCAGATGAGCGTACATATATTGCACACGTTCGGGTGAACGCGCTGAGAAGTGCCCGACAGATTCGCGACCTGTTCTTCGTCCACCAGAGGGGCTCTGCCAATGGCCTTTATGTCGCCTCTGTTAGCTTCGGAGGGTTTCTGAGCCCTGTGGCTGCTGAGATACAAGCAAAGGCCTCTGGGTGGCGGGCATCATATACTACACTCGCCTACTGCGTCACAGCCCTCACTGCTCTATTCGCTTTCGGGTTCGAGGAAACAAAATTCGTTCCTAAACATCGTCACGGAAGCATTTCTGAGACTCGCAAGAAGGCTCGCGCACAGATCATTGAAGAAATAGATCCTAAGGAGAAAGCGGCTGATCCCCCATACCCTTTACAAGCCCCCATTCCAGTTTCTCGACCCCAGGCCACTCGACCGCCATTCCTACACTTCTTAAAGCTTCAGCTTCTTACTCCTACCAACGAATCATTCCTCCAGACGTTTTACCACCCGGTTTTTGTGATTTGGTTGCCTTACGTTGTGTTTACTTGTTTAGCATACGGGGCCACCATCTGCATGATGATCGTTATGACATCTATGACGTCGATTATTTTCTCGGCACCACCTTACAATTTCGGAGCAGACCAGCTTGGACTATTCAACCTAGGCCCTTTTTTGGGGTCTATTTTTGGTAGTTTATTTGGCGGGACTCTTGTTGATAAGTCTATTGTTGGGTTGGCAAAACGGAACGGAGGCATATTCGACCGGAAATGCGGTTATACATGATGCCGCTTCCAGCTATTGCAATGTCAGCAGGCCTCATCATTATGGGCGCTACAGCCGATCGTGTTTGCCCTCTCTTGATGAACCATACTATAAAATAGGGACACTAACCTGCTATAACCTTCAGGGTCTGCCCTGGATCTACCCTTGCATCGGTGGTACTATAGCTTCATTTGGCTTCATCGCTATCTCAGACATGGTCTTCACTCTTGTCATTGACTCCTATCCTAATGTAAGGCGCCGGATCTAATTGAGCCCCCTCAAGGATACTAACCTGTGAGCAGGTCGTTGCCCAAGCGTTTGTCGTGGTTACCTTTTCCCGAAATGCTATTGGCATGATCGGCACTTTTGCTTTTACCCCCTGGCGTCAAAGCATGAGCATTACTGCCATGTTTATTGTTGCAGGGATCACAAGTTTGACAATTAATCTTATAGCTTTGCCTATTGCATTCTGGGGCAAGAGATCAAGGGTAGCCAGCGCTGATCGGTACCATCGGATGGCAAGCCAGGTCAAGCAAGGCTCTCGTCGAGAAAAGGAGAGTACGGGAGGACTTGGCTGCAGGCGGACTCTTCGAATGATTTGAAAGAACTCCACGAGTAAAAAAGAGGGATATAACGATATTTTATAGAATACAGTGATCATCGACCTAGAATTAATTGATTGGCAGCCGAGTTCGATAAGTGATTACAACGAGATGGCTAAGCTATCGCGACACGGACCTGTCTTAGCAGGGCTCCTTTGACGATGATTGCGGCACACACCCAAAGAAACACCCACGCCGAAGGCAACAGCAGAAGCTAGAAGCAGAGGGACAAGGGGGACTAAGCGGAACTTAGAAATGGAAGCACTAGGCAGGGAAAGAGAAGGTGAAAATTGAAGAAGAAGACGATAATGATAAGGAAGATAAAGAAGAGGATAATGTCTGCTGGCTAGCTAAGGGGGGAGAAGAGACCTCTTTTATAGACTAAACTATCCTTTCTTCTTCCTTAGACGAACAGGGAGCCAAGGGATCATCTGATCAAGAAGAGGGCTAGCTAGAGACTCTGCCAGGGACTCTGCCAAAAACTCTGCTGTGCGGGCTGTGTATGTCTTGGTGCGTCACGCAGATGCCTCCGCCAAATCCGCCCACAACGAAGCACAGACACCCTCATCTGTTAGGTAAGCAGGCAAGCAAGCAATAGGCCAAGAAAGGAGGATACAGACAGGCAAGCAGGCGAGAGGCGAAGAACCAAAAGAATTAACAAACAGACAGGCAGATAGGCAAGCAACAGACTAACGAACAAGCTAAGCATTAAGCAAAGAGCAATTCCAGGCAGCTGGTTCCAAGATGACAGTTATCCGACCACCAACGCCAGCTCAGCCTGGACATCATCAGACTTGCACAAGATGCCCACTTTTGGCTCCGGGCTCTCGAGAAAGGGGTGTAAATGCTAGCATATAATGATCTCGTAGATTTTGATATGATGGGTGTATGAAGGGTAACCCCCAAAGTCGACGGCAACGATGACAAAACAGATGAGCACTGGTGATTTTGTTGCGAGTCTCGTTGCCTTGTGCCAAGCTTCTTCATCTATTAGCTGATGCGTATCGCCCCCAAGAGGGGAGTTGTCTCGGGGATATCTTGGGCGGCCCAGATCGGGGCTTGTCATGGCTGCTGTCTGATATGGGCCACCCATGTGACAGTTGCAGTTTTGAGGGTGTTGAAAGCGACGTTCGGCGCCGATGGCTGTAAACTCTTTCATTGAATTGCGGCGTTGTTTTGGGAGTGCAGTTGTTTCAGTCGGAGCGCAGTCGCCCTAAGACCATGGCCAGTGGTTTCTCCCGTTTGTAAAATGTCGAGCTCACGTTCCGCCCAATGCCGTCCGCGGCTTATTCAACGCCAGCAACGGCTGCGCAAATGCCACTGGCAGCTTCGTCCGAGGCAGGGGGCAGCCTCGAACAGGATACATCCAAGGAATCACCTATTGCCGAAACCAATGCCTATCATGTTTCCTGGAATGGGGATGGCGATCCCTCCAACCCCATGAAATGGTCAGCCCGGGCCCGATGGGGGTGGCTAGGGCTTATTGGCCTTGTCGACTTCGTTACGTATATGCGCTTCATCTTCTCGATGCCTTGCTGCGGATCGGCCTAGTTTTCTTATAGGCTTATACTCCTCTTACAGGTGTTTGTCCTCATATATGCTCTCGCCCGCCCTCTCCGATCTCATAGTAGGTCTCGGCTCCAGCAACTCGACGCTCTCGTCGCTCGCCGTATCCATCTACTTTGCAGAATTCGCTCTAGGCCCGCTACTAGCTGCGCCGCTATCAGAGCTTTACGGACGCTTTGTCGTCGTCCGGTTCCTATCTGGGTGCGTAGGCATCCCGCCTGCAGCCTTGTTTGGTGGATCCACGAGAGAAAGCAAGCAATGTTCTCAGCATTCCTCTAAGTATATTAATTGATAATCTAAGACCCAGCGTCTATAATAGTTTAAAGGAGTATAATCTTATTAGGACCGTTAATAGCGCCACTGGTGGAGACAAGGCCTATTTGTAGTTACGAAAATATATTTTCAATAAATCGGACTGAAACATTTCAGCTTAAGTGATCGGACGCGCAAGTATCCTACGATCTATATGGTCCTGGTGCCCTTTTTAATAGGTCGGAGTAGATACCGCAGTTAGCCCAAGAACTCGGTCTCTAACTTAATTAAACCCTCGAAAAGTTAGCGATAATAGGAGGTAATATAGATTTTATACTTTATGTCCTCCGGACAGAAGCAAATATAAATGCCGACGACTTGGCTGGGACGATCACATCGTTGAGGGGAAGTCTGGCTCATAGAGCTATCACGTTGAACAGACACGGCAAGCTTCATACAACTATCATTACATCCGCGCCGACAATGAAAGCATTCTGTTTGCGATGCGCAGCATATCATTCAGCACGGGGGTTCACGCAACGTCTCAACAAGGTGCATTCCAAATCTACATTCCCAGTTAACTGCCTAGAGTGCGAGCGAAAAGGTAAGTCTGACTCGCTGGCTACTTATCGGGCAGCGTGGATAACCCATGTTAATGTGGCTTACGATAGAGGTAAAATTTGTGGCGGAAAGCTTGAATCAACACAAGATATTATGCCAGGCACACACAACAGGGGCAAGAAACAGAAGGCGGTAGCTTACAGGCTTGTCGGTGCAGCTAACTCGGAGAAGAGAAAGCTAGAATGTCAGACTCCTGATCCTTCAATCGCAGATTTACGGTACGAGAGCTAGACCCTAACTAGGAGTAGGATGTAAAGATAAAGCCAGATCCTCATGCCGATAAAGAACTTCGGGCTAATAACACGGACTAAAGGGTCAGGATTTCCCTTATGTAGCTTCTATACTGGACGACCTAGCGAATAGTAGTAGAACGGGAAGGTGGAGGAAGATCCTCTTGCAGATAAAGTGTTCTGGGTCGATGGAAGGGCATAAACGTCACGTTCCCCTTGCGCAGCTATTGCAGTTAATATGACCAGTTACGTTATTCCTTTTCTATAGGATCCAAATCATGATAATTCTGTGCGACCTGATCTACAGGTAATATTATATCTACTTACTTCTAACACATACCAATAGAGAGGTCTCCCTAGCTGCTCACATGAGACGTCAGCCGACCCCGCCGACAGAGTCTAGTGCTGCGCTTATTGCTACTTGTCGAAGACGCCAGTTTCACTGCATCTCTATTACTCTCTGCAACTAGGCTCTATACCACCGGTGCTTTCTACCAACCAATAGTAACATCAAAGAACAGACGCCTAGCAACCTCGAAGGGTTGCTGGATAATTTTAGCGGCCTTAGTAAAGATAGCGAGGGTTCTCTTTGCGGTCGATATAGTATCTTCGGCCTTCAGCTCCCTTTTTATTGACAATATGAGACACGTTTAGTCGGCACACGGTTTGCTGGGTATCGCTACCGAAGGAAGGTGGAAGGGCGTAGTACGTAGAAACGACGACAATACGACCAACCCATGATCAGGTCACCTTCCTAGATCTGCGATTGGGCTTCAAATTGCCATTAAATCTAGAGCGTCTTCAGGTTTAGAATTATTATAAGTACCGCTATTTAGACCAGAAAAGGTCTTGACGATTCTAAAGGATTAACCTAGATATTAAGGTAATTGGCGCCGACTTGGTTCTTATATCACGTCGATATTAGATCCAGGTTGGGATTGTTTAACAAAGGCCTCTAGCATAGACAGGACTTTTAAGTACTAAGCAGGGAAAGCGGAGGCCAATTATTGCCCAGTAAATGGCGCTGATATAATTACATTCTATACTTCTAATACGTAGTCTAACTATATCATAACGTATTGGTATAGTAGCGTGCAACATAGTTTTATGAAAACAATAATAAGAAAGGCCAAAAAACATATATGTCGACATACATAACGTCAGGATGGCAATTTTAACCCTTCTTCGACCCTCTAATGCTAGAAAGGCTTCGTATACAAGGGCATTCCCACCCAACAATTGGGCTTAACTTTGAAGCTGTGCCTATTATCGTTCTATAACCAAGCGAGCTAGCGCACTGTCCCTCCAGTACCAGGCGGCCGCATATGTTGCGGCAGGCCCGATAATATACTGGCCACCAATCGCTAAAAGTGACAGTGAGCGCGCCTCGCTCGTTCTTATATATCCCAAGCTCCGCAGGTCCTAAATGGTATACGGAAGGAATACCAACAAAGACATGACAACCACGACTAGATATTCTTTCAGAAGAGCAGGAAGAAGTTCCCAAAGTGCAGCAATATTCCACAATGGTTCGTGTAACATGTTGAAAGAGATATGTAACATGTACCGAAGACTGGCAGCCGACTGCTGCCACAAATTATAAGGTAAGACATGTGAGCAGCAGCTGTGCCAGCGGCGATAATAAAGTATGTTGTTTTCAGTGGCATTAAATATTTACTGTACGCCTTGGGGATCTCTTGAGCTGACGAATGAGTGGCTTCATTTGTCTATTTGGGCACTGTGACGATTCAAAAGCCCGGATCATCGTTGCAAGCGTATAGCAACGGAATGGGCTGCCACAAAGCGAGGAACTTCCATTCCGGGATACTATTTTCCTTGGAGAGAAGAATGCTGAGTATTGCAGTAAGAATATAACAAATGCACACCGCCGGGAGCGCAGCTCTGGCAACTTCTGGCTCAACCGGCCAGTGAGAAACAGCTTTGCTACCAAATATAACACCACAGAGATAGTATAGAGGAGATACGTACCGGATACCAACTAGTTGATACATAAGTCCAAAGACAATTGGCCTGTAGGCTGTAATTAGTGTGCAGAAGGGCGGTTAGTTAACGAATGACATACCAAGACAAGATTGAAAACCTATGACTTTTTCCATAGCCTTCTATAGTCCATATGACGAGGACTGAGACAAAAATGGACAAGAATGTCGCGACTTGAAATCGGCTGGTTGATGTCCGTAGGAAAGATAAGAGTGATGTTCCTAAAGAATAGGTCCTGCCAGACCGATTATGCAATGCTGCAACATTTATACACGCAAGGATAGCACCAGCCAGGAAGGAGACTACTTTATGTCCATTTGAACCCCATAAAATTTCAGTCGGAAGTTCATCATTATACAGTATTACCCGCTGACGCAATGGGATGTTAACATTGTTAAGTTTAATGCCACCAACATAGGTTTCGGACGTTCTGTCAAGTATGTAATCCCGCCCGACTATAGGCAAGATGAGAATAACATCGAACACAGCGTCTGACCAGCGAGAAGGTTTTGCATTTCGTTTGCAGTGCGAATTAAATAGTTAATTCCGTTGGCGCGGACTGATTTCACATTGGCCAAGGCGGTGCATAATGCGTCCTCTGTAAGGCAACCTTGAGATTGCTGCAGTTGATTTGACAAAGCATTAGAGCCGCTGCCGACTCTATGGCGCTCGTGCCTCCTTCGCCGCCTATAGGATTTTGCTGCAAACCGCAAGCAAGAGGTTTAAATGACTCGACCAATATAATCGACCAATACAACTGTCATAACGTCTTTCTTTGTGTGCTGCATCGCCGATTGTGATAATCCTTTGCAAATGCCAGCATGAAAATGCGTGTTCGGCTACCGAAGTAAGGCCAGAGACGATGCGATTGTTGTATAGTTCCCCGAAGGTGACACTGCTGGAGATCATATCGCTGGAGAATTTATCTTGCAATAGCTTCTCATCTGCTCGAGTGCAACCAAATGGTGTAGTGCCAAAATAGGAAATGGAGTGGCGATAAGCGACTTACCACGACGATCTCGAGTTCTTAGAGTATCTGGCCAGGAATCCCATACCTTGCGAATAGATTCGTAGACTTGTTGGAAAGAGAGACATGTACGTCAGTTGACAGCGCACCTGTTGGAGCGCGTTCCACTTTTGCCTGCGTGGCGCAATGGTCTTCGCGACAAGACTACGATCTGGTTAAGTATTCGCAGACCATTCGGCATCAAGAACCAGGTCCGTGTAAGCGTTGCGATTGAATATTTCCGTCCCTATGCTGACTTTATATTCTAGATCGACGGGTTAGAGGAAGACAAGGTGGCCAAACCTAACCGCCCAATTGCCTCCACGGCGAAGTCCTTATACCCTATTACCTTTGCCATTATGTGCGCTGCTGGCTTGTACAGCAATACGGTCTTGTGCACATCAGTCTATGCTATAGCCATATTGGCATATAATGAAGGCGGCTTAGCAAAGTACCCCATTCTAAAAGACATAATAGGAGCATTGGGGGTAACATGCTACTGTTGGGGTTCCACGATTATATTTGGTACGGTGTATAGCGTCTAGTTACTTTGACCAAAGGCTAATTGATATTGTTAAGACTACGGGCAACAATAGTCTGGCATGAAAGCATTGGCAATATCTTTAACATGGATTGTACGCGCAACCACGGTACGGCTCAATGCAAAGCTCTAGTCACATAGGAGCTTCTAAGACAGCTACTTTTATAGTGTTATGCTCAAGATTTCCGCGACCGCTTAGGAGATTCTGCAGTAGGTCGCAGAACAATACCTCTGCTTGTTTCGCAATGCATTGCGCGCCGGTCACTTACACTAACCATTTCCACATGGACCGTCGCTTTGGTGATACTATGGCGTCCACCAGTTACTGTTAACCTCGTATTTGCAGGAATTGGCGTTCGATCTATGTTTGGCTTTTTATCAAGCCATAATATTGATGGTGATCGTATATCCTACAAGTGGTATGGGAGTACGTCATAGTCTTTGCAAAGCACATTTGCTGTGGTAATTTTTGCTCACCTACTTGCAGTACTGGCTGACAGTGGCAAATATTCTCCCGATTTTTCCTCGGCTACGGGGAGAATCTTGGTAACCGGTGCTATGGCAACATCTTTAGCTACCGTAGCATGGAACTGCTTGGTAGAGACTGTTACAAGATCAGATGGCTGGGGCAGTGGCGTGGCCAGCCTAAAGCAGCTATGCATGGGAAAAGCAAGTAAAGTAAGAAGAGTCGAAAAGAGGGATTTTTATCAAGCAATATCATCACTATTATAAATTAAACAACTGAAAACCCACTGTGATCCCTCGTACTATCACGTTCAATGTGACACGAATACAGCGGCTCGCGACAAGCAGTATGACCAAGTCTTGAATAGGTGAACCAAAACTAAAATCCGCCGCACTCTATGTTCAATGGGGATGCGGCTACTGATTTCACTTTTCTTATAAAGTAGGACATGCAATGACTGTAACTCATCTGGAGTCTCTTGGAGCAACCCCCAAGCTCAGGACGGAAGCTCCCCGAACATCCAGCATTCCTTGCCACTATAGCTGCCCAGGCTAGTAATGCGCATCATATTACAAGGGTTGTTCAAGATAGCTAGATAGCCGAAGTCGACAGTTCCTAGCGCATTCCTTCTTGTTGCCGAGTCTTCACCTTGACGCACAAAGGCTGAGCTAAAGTCGACATCTGAATCATCTGTAAACCTATTGAAATTGTTGATTAGAAGCGGCTCTGCTTTTTTGCTGTTGGTTATAGCCGTTGTATCGACATCGGCCTCAATAGCTCCGAGAAAAGTGTGAAGAGACCGCGCTATGTTCTCCAGGTGGCGACCTTGTCCTTGGCGAATATACCAACCCCAACGACTTATATTATTTTATCTTCGGAACCGTGTCTGGATGGTGGCCGCTAAGGATGAAATGGAGAACGGACCACTGCTCTTACAGTATTAGTGGCAGGAGGCCCTCCAGAAGGCTGGCTTCTCTGGCGCCGACATATCCGTCGCAGACAGCGACGAACTAAACCCTTACAGGATGTCGACAATTGTCAGCACGAAACCACGCGAGAAGGGCCATCCCCTTATATGATGGTAATTGTCACAGCTGGCTATAGTAGCTCTACAAAGATTATTATCTCGGATATTTGCCGTTATTTCTAGCGACTTGGCCATAGCGTGGCAGTTAAAGAAGTCGCGGCGGCAGCTGCTAAGGCAAGCAGGAAGATAGTTATTGCTCTTCTTGACGACGAAGCGCTACTCCCTAAAGATGTCTAATAAGTCAACCTTAAGCAAGCCAAGTAGCTTCTCCTTTATAGTTAAGAGCTCCTATGGGTTACCCGGTCGGACTCTGCGGATATACCGGGTTATCCTGCCAAGCGCATCGTATCTGGCCTTATGCGCTATCTCTAGAGGGAGGACTCGTCCTATAGGCTATACGAATTGCACTTTTCTTGCCCGCTTAGGAGCCACATGGAGTCGACTGGCACCGCTGTGTGCCAGCGATTCTGCACCATTTGGGGTGCCGCTGAGGACGGCTGGAGCGAGACGGAGTCTTCTGTATTCCTCGCTATATGCCCGACAAGGCCATAAATCACAGTCTAGTACATGCGACTTAGTCGGCTATCACCCTAGAAGGTGACAGTCTCTTTCAAGCTGGCCGGCCTCTAAAATGACCATCGGACAGCCTAGCATGCTCGACACCCTTTATTTCGTCGATAACGAGGCCGCCTCCCAGCCCTTATTCGATTAAGAGGTTAATATTAAAGTTAAGGCCTACGCTCTCAACTTTCTATAAGTAACTTGACTAAAGACCTACCTAAGTGCTTTCACGGTACTGACAGGATAGGGACAGTATGATCACTATGGGCCGGATCCCGCGGCTCCACTTTGGTCCTAAAGCCGCTGGCATAGTTTGCCGTGTGAGTCTTAAGCAACCAGGTTCTCTCTCGGCGACCGCGTCGTATATATCGGCCAAGGAGCCATACAAACCTACATCCGATCTTTCAAGCATACAAGCTCCGCCTCGACCTCATCCCTCTCTCGTGGCTCTCTTACCCTGCCATCACCGTCTCGTGCCTCATTGTTCTGCCCTTGCTTCCTGCTTTATACTATGGCTGAGTGACATTACTTCTTGTCGGACGGACTGGGTTGCTAGACGTTGGCGCTGCGCATGCCGGGCGGCCCCTGCTCCTGCAGCTGCTGCTGTGCCGGTGGTGCTAAAACGGCGGCGTGCCGCTGGCGAGTAGCAGCGGTGTCCCACTCATGGTGATGGTCCATAAACGAGTATGCCTCCCTTTCTGGCAGGCCCAACCATATCTCGATAGGCAAGACGACGGCAACAAGGGCCGATCCCGTCTTCCACTTGGCTGTAAGGGCGATGTCCCCAACGTACGAGGGCAGATTGGTTTTGAGCCAGAGTGCCCACTGGCCTGCGTCGGGAATGGTATTCTCCTTTGCAACCTACTGCTTTTAGTCTAGAGCTCTAAAGGTGTATGTAGTAGTGTACTGACCCTTAAGAACATGCGTTTTGGCGTGATAGTGACCTGAGGCGAAGGCGGTTCCGGCGTCTTCTCGATGCGATGGATGAGGACCGGTGGCTGATCCAACGACGCCCGCCTGTGTACAGGCATAGACATTCCGAACCGCACTGATTTGCAGGAGTGAAGTCGTGAGACGAGCTGCGTGGCGGTTATAGCAGCACCGTTGACTGATTTTAGATCGTTGATTTTTTTTTATATTATTACTCGCATGCAGCCTCTAGGGCCATGGCGAGGCTAATAGGGGCCTAGGCCCCTATTAGCAGTCCTAGCTAGCTATAGAGCCCGGGGGCTTATAACTAATTAGGGAGAGGGTAGCTATAAAAGCGAAGACAAAGGAAAGGTTAGTCTAGTTCCTCCCGCGCGGTGATTTTCCCCCCTAAGGGCCCTAGGGCCCCTAGGTTACTCCTTTTCGAGCTACTTAGCTGTCCCTATCTCTGTTTTAGCTAAGAAGGTTAGAAGGGCTTCCCTTCCTTCCTTAGAGCTATAGAGAATAGGTAGGCTAAGGGCCCCCTCCCGTCTCTTAGAGGTCTAGTAAAGGACCTCTCTTTCCCTCCTATAGTTCGGGCACCTTAGGATAAGGTGCCTAGCCGTATACCTTCCTTAGCCGTAGCGGTAGTCGTCTCGGTCTACCTTATTAGTCCTTTTTAAGAAGGAAAATAGGAAGCCGGCCCTAAAGAGGAGCTAGTAGAAGGCCGAGAGGGTTAGCTTAGGCCTCCCTATAAGGTCCTTTTCCGGGCTAAGGGCTAAGCGGGGGGTCTTTTAAATAAATATATAGTATTTACCTAGGCCCTTAGCCCTAAGGCCTTTAGCTGCCTTAGTAGCCTAGAGTCCCTTTTAATAGTCCTTAGTAGCTTACCGGACCTTTCTTTATAAGTAGCTAATAGAGACTAAGGGGGTCCCTTAAGTAGGGGCCCCTAAGCCTCTTTTAGCTAGCTAGTTAGTAAGCTCGTTACTAAAGATCCCTAGGTAGCTAGGGTACTAGTAGAGCTATACGTTATAGAAGGCTTCTAAGCTAAATAAGAGCCTTTTAATATATATAGCTAGGTCTAAGAAACCTATAACCTTCCTTATAGCGGCTTAGCTATCTATAAAGATATAAGTATCTATAAGGGGGTTAAGGGGGCTAAGCCTTAAGGGCCGAGGCCTCTTAGCTAGGTCCTCTAGGACCCTTAGTATCGCGAATAGCTCTACGTTAGCTACTTCGATCGAGGGCCCTAGGTTCTCGTAGTACGCTTTAATAAGCTTATTTTCTAGGCCTATTTTATAAAAGGAGTAAGCGTTAGTCTTTATAAGGGATCTCGTAGGGCACCCTTTAAAGCCGTTAGTATAAAAGGCTAGGGGCTATAACCTAAAGTCTTTTAGGCTAGCTAGGCTAGCTAAGAAGTATTAGTACTACTTCTTAGCTAAGGGCTTAAGGGCCTTTATTATTATAATAGAGGCCTTAGGCTCTAGGGCCTATAGGGGCTCCTAGCTAGCTTTCCTTCTTTCTAAGGTATAATTAGGTCCTATAAGAGCTACTAGGCCTTTAAGGAGGCGGAAGAGCTATATATATAGCCTAATATAACTTAAGGCCCCTAGGTTAGAGCCCGAGTTAGCGAGGTCGTCCTATATAGCTAGGTTATAAGCTTACCTTATAAGGTAACTAGGTAAGAAGTATAGGGTCTAAAGGGCGTAGGAGAGGCATACCCTTTTAAATTATACCTTTAGTAGTAGTAAGGCTACTTTAACTTTTAAAGCCTTAATAAGGGATCCTTTAAAAGCCCCTAAGACCTTTAAAAGAGCTTAGTTTTAAAGCCTTTAGAAAAGCTTTATTAGGCTCTTAAGGGTCTTAGGCCCCTTATACTAAAGCTAGGCCCTATAGTTTACTATAGAGGTTATATAGGCCTAGTAAAGCTATTTAGAAGCTTTAAATAATAGGCTTTTTTACGTAGAGGTTAAGCGGGATAGTCCTTTAAAGGCAGCTTATATAGAAGCTACCTTCTTTTCGATATATTATTTAAATAGGAGCTTAGAATTAAAGAAGACCCCTAGCTACTATACTAAGGGCTTTACCTTAAAAAATAAGCCTCTTACTATTATACCCTTTAAAATAAGCTACTATTGCCTACTAAAGTAAATAAGTTCTATCTTTAAGGGGTCGAAGTAAACCCCTTAGTCTTTAGCTTATTTAAATAGGTTAGTAGCTATTGCTTTTAGCTACTAAACGTTCTTCTTAGCTAAGGTCGACGTTATAGAGATACTAAAGTTATCTATATATAATAGCTAGTATCCCTTAGCCGCTAGTATCCCCCTTATATATAAGAGGAATAAAATAGGGCTAATAGGAGACCCTTAAGGCACCCTTATTACTAGGTCTATAAGGGGCTAGACTTACCTATTAAAGGCTAGCTAGATCTTTCTTTTAGTAAGGAAGTAGTCTACTTAGCTTATAAGGGCCTTAGTATTATATACTAGTCCCTCGGTATAGGGCTAGTACGTTAACCTTACCGTCTACCTAGATCTAGTATAGGTTTAACGGGTAATTAAACGGACTAGCTACCGTATATAATTAAATATATTATATAGACTAGCTACCGTACGTTATTACGCGCGTTAAATACGGACTAGCTACCGGTCTTATAAGTTAAAGTAAAAGTAGTAATAACTATCTATATTCTTCTTTGCCTACCTAAGATCTAGCGGGTTCTCTATCTTTTATATATACTATAGCGAGCGTAAGACCTTACTTAGGGTTTTAACTAAGTAATATCTTAACCTTATAATCGTGCGACGGTAGTATAGCGTATTAGCGGTATTTCCTAGTATTTTCCCTAGGTAGGCATAGGTATTTCTCTATAATTTCCCCGCTATATTCTCGTAGTAACTTCTTAGGGAAATATTAGTATAATCCTTAAGGAGCTATTATTACTTAGGAAATTATAGTATATTCCCTATATAATATATCCCTAGGGGAAATCTCTATAAAACGTCCGTATAATCCGCTTAGTTAGCGTTTCTAGGATTTCTAGGTAATTTCCTAGAGTTTACTTAGTAGCTTCTAGGTTCCTTCTTCCGCGGGGAGCCTTAAGGAGTTAAGGGTAACTTCCCTAGGGAAGGCCGATATCGTTATAGGTACCTAGATTATCGACTATAGGGTATCCCGTAATAAATACCTAGGGCAAAAGAATTAACTAACGTCCTTATTAGTCTCCCGCGGTATTTAGGCAGGAGTTACGCTAATAGGGAATCGTAGTAAAGTTATATAGATTTCTAAGGTTAGTATAGGGAATAACTTATATCTTATCTAAGATATAACTTAGTATAACTAATACTAGGGGCGTAAGGCGGCTAATCTAAGAGTAAAATACTATTAAAACTAAGGGCACTAGGTAGCTAAGCTAGGGTAATAAACGAGTAGGGCTAGGGGCGTAGAGCGGCTAAGCTAGGGAAAACTAATTATAACTAAGGGCGCTTTATAGCTAAGCCGGTAGAAAAAACGACTAAGACTAGGGATATAACGAGGCTAAACTAGTAACTAACTATCTTACGCTATAGGGGTAAGGGTAAGGCGGGTAATCTCCTCCTTAGCTTCCTCCTTCGTTAGATCCTTAGGGCCTACTAGCACGTCGTCTAGGGCATCCTATATATCGGAGGCTTTATAGATAGGCACGCTATAGGCGTTATTCGGGGCCGGTTCTACTAAGAGTATTATAGCTAGTCCGTTATAAGAGGCTAGAACCTAGTTATAGATTGCTACTATTAGTGCCTATATAGTTAGGCCTAGGTTCTAGAACCTACCTAAGTATATATTAGTAAACTTCTAGTTTAATAAGTTAAAATAAGCTATTATATTAGCCGTATAAGGGCGGGCCGCTACTAGTATATAAAGGGGGCTAACGCGGGCCGCTCTTTAGTATACCGCGGCGAGCTTAGGTAAGTCGTCTAGGAGGTAGGCGGCGAAAGCGAACTAATAGATAAAGCCGGCGGGCACTCTAGTAAGGGCGGCGTACTAGCCGAGTAAGAGGTCGGCGTCGGCCTCCTTATAAATAGTAGCGAATAGATTTACCTAAATCACGGCCGCGTCTAGGGCTCTATAGACTAGTACTTTTAACTTAAAGTAAACGATGCTTATATAGCCGTCTATATTAGCTAGGTTATTATAGTATACTACGAAAGGTATAATAAGAAATAGTCTAGGTTTTCTATAGCTTAGAACCTAGAAGGGGTTAAGCTTCTATTAAACCGGTATTAAGGCCTATTCCTCGGCGAATAAGTTAGCCTATTTAAAAGGAGTAGAGGGCGGGGCCGCGGCGGCGGTAAGTAAGCGTTTAGCGAATAGGTTTCCTAATAGCTCGTTAAAGGTAAGGTCTACTATACTAGATCCTCTAGGTTTAGCCGGGGTGCGCTTAAGGCTCTTCTTAAACTTATAGGTTCTTAGTATACCGGTAGCCTCGCGCTCTTCTATAGCGGCGGCCTCGAATATCTTTAGATAGGTAGGAAGGCACTTCGCGCTAGTAACGGTAGCGATAATCTCGAGTATCTTAGTATCTATAGAGGCGACCTATTTAGATAGGAGCTTATTAACGACGTCGGCTAAGATAGTAGCGATCTACGCGGTTCTAAGGGCGCTAGTTATTATCTTAGTTTTATTAAGGAAGATAGCCTTATCTAGGTCGTATAGCGATAGAGGGAGAAGCTCGTCCTTATTAAACGACGGGGCGAACTACCCGCGGGCGTTATAAGGGGTGCTAGGGGTTTTTCCTATAATACCGGAGACTAATAGTAGTAAGTCGCTAGATAAATTACTAGAGCTCGATAGTAATAAAGCATAGTCGTCGAAATAAACGCGTAAAGGAGTACTAAGATTATAGTAATAGGAAGCGCTAACCTACCGTAGTTAGATAGTTAACGTTATATTCCTACTAGTTTAGGTAGTTATAGGAGTTATAGTAGTATTATAATAGGTAGCGGCGCTACGAGGTATAGAGAAGTATAGCTAGTTATAGTTACGTAGGTCGCGGGCTTTAAACGGGGGAAGAAATAGTAGGGCATAGTATATACCGTTTTCTACTAAGCCTACGTCGAGGTTATATCCTTCTTTAGTAAGGAGGTCGTAG